TACCACCAGATTGTAGTACTAAGTGGCCAATGTACAAATATTATTGGGAGCAATATATTTTCTTTGTCATGATGTACAGTATATCATATATATATATATATATAGGAAATCTTTAAGGGAAGGGATCCTTTTTTTTTTTTTTTTTTGGTAAAAATGGAGATTAGTTGTGGAGTTCACACTACATTGAATTTTAACGATCCGAACCATTTATTTTTTAAGTTGCACCTCATAGATCATCCTTGCAAAATATTAGCCAAATTGGAAATGTTTAAGACATCTATTTTTTTTTTTTTTTGGTTAGAAAAGGAAATACATTAAGATATCTAATTGGGTTTAAAGAAATTAACGAATACTTTGTTATATAAGAAACAATGAAATTTTATTTTGATAATTAAATAGGCAAATGGTTTCGGATTGAATTGAATTTTTGCAAGGATGATCTATGAATTGAGACTTACAAAATAGATGAACTAACGCGCCCGACCCTAATATTCCCCAACACCAGGGTAGGCACGTGCTGGCCAACACCCGAAGGTGACGAAGCCATATTAGAATCCATGAAAACAAGAAATAAATAAGACTTATAAATTTAAATATAATAAATATGCATTTAAGGAACATGTTCAGAGCATACAACTAATCTAGAACACTAAAAAGAAATAATATAAAATTGAATGAACAAAGGAGTGGGTCCTACACTGAGAGGACTTCAAGATGCCGATGCGGAAGTGCCTTGACGCCGAGATCGTACGCCTTGATTCTAAGTCTTGAGTGGGTGCAAAATAAACATGAGTGGACCAAGTTAATATATATAATAATGAAATAGTTATCAACACACTAACCCATTTAATGAAAACTCAATAGCATACTATGTAGTATGTTTTCCGAAAACCCTAGCATGCTATAAAACCTTTCATGAAACATATTTCGTATATAGTGTGCTAGCTAGTGATATCAATATCAGTATCTCTCGGCCCAAAGCCATCCTTGTATACCTCTTGCCAGCCATATATCTCCCTCGCCCGTAGGTAGAACCATGACCACTAGATACACACAAAACCATTGAACATAGACTTTCCAAACATAGGTATATATATCTCAAAAACATCTTCATAGTATAAAGCCATCCATTATCTATACTATAAAGAAGTGTGCAAAAGCATGTTCATAAGCAATATAAAGTCATCCATCATCTATACTACAAAGAACATGAGTTCGATAAAATATGGTAATTCAAAATATTCTCAATAAGCATAATATCTCACAAAACGTTTCATAAAACGTAATCATTAAATCATGTTTTTCATGTATGCATTTTTACTATTAAAACATGCATTTTAGAAGTGGTCCACTCACAGAGACTCCGTCATCGAAGAGCCGTGTGAAATAGGAAGAATGGAATCGCCGCTAATAATCATACCTAAGCACATAAATGGTCTAATTAATAAAATTTTATTCAAACAAATGAATTTGGGAAAACGAACATAAAAAACGGATTAAGAACATCGAATTACCCTAAGAAAGGTCCCGGGTAAATTTTAAAAAAGTCAACAAAAAGTCAACACAAGAATATTCCAAAGATATTCCACATAATATTCCATTTGGGTTGGGCTGGTGCGGTTCTGGGCCTAGACTTTGGGCCGGTTCCTCAATTGGGTTTTGGGTTTTGTAAGGGCTTGGGCTCAACAACCCTGCCCAGGGACAATGGGTTTATGCTTTGGTCTAAGGGACTTGGGTTTTAGGTTTTGGGTTTTAGGCTTGGGTTAACTAAAGCCTAAGGTTTGGGTTGGCTGCACCGAGCCGATTTAAAATAGGGTTTTAGTTGCCTGGGGCACAGTTTGAGGGCTGGGTTCTAAGGCCCAACGACCTAGGTTTAAGGGGCCAAGGGCCCATTTGTTAGGTGGGTCGTCGGACCTCAAGAAGAAGAAGGCCGAAACACTGCCAGGAATTTCCCTAGCTCCGACAGAGCTCGAAACATAACCAAAAGTCACCATTTTAGAACCAAAATAAAGGTAAGAAGACGTAGGTTCGAAAACTACCAAAAGGAGGCCGTGACACGGCCGGAGCTGGTCGTAAATCCACACGAAAGTCACTGGGTTTTCTCGCGGGGATCTGGAAAATTAATCTTCAATATCTCTATGCAGTTTCGTCAACCAAAATTCACAAGAATGTGATAAAAAACCATCACAAGAATAAAAGAGAGGGTTTAGCATGTCTCGAGGCTTACCTAGTCGAAAAACCCAAGAACTTGCCGGAGAACTCACAACAGCGGCACTAGCCACTAGGTCCCTTAGGCACACCATTTAACACATAAAAGCAGTATTTTAAAAAAAAAAAAACCCCAAATAAAGTGAAAATACAAAAATACCCTTCTGCTCCATAAATTTCGGGATGGGTTGTTACAATTCGGATCGTTGAAGTTCGATGTAAAGTGAGCCCCACACCTAATTCCCTTTGCATAGAGGGCCTATATATATATGTCTATATATACATGGACAAATCCGGGACACCATTTTTTACAGCTTTTGACTCATGTTTTTGTAGAGCCCACTTTGTATGTATTTCAACGATCCGAACCATTTATCTTTTATGTCTTCCCTCAAATATCATGTGTACCAAAAATCACCCAAATCTGAAACCATATGACCTTTGGATTAAGGGTTTAGGGTTTCTTTGTAGAGCCAGATTCGTCCATTTTATTCACTATAAATGAAAGTTTTAATGGTTTTGAATTTTTCTAATTTTTTGGAAATATGTCTTAATGGTAAAATTGCCACTTTGTAAAAAAAATGGATGAGAATAAGCTTGTTCAAGATTTTTCTTTATTTAAGGCACGCTATCTCCCCTTAGAGTAAAACTTAAGCTTTAAGTTCTGAACCTATGTCAACTTGCTCCAACCCTTGGAGTAAAACTCAAATTTTAGGCTCTTAACCTACTCCAACTTGCTCCGACCATTGGGCCAAATATGAGTTTTAACCGAAAACTCATTTTTGGGGAAAATTTAGTCTAGAATTTCCCCTGGTAGTGGGTTGGCCCACCATATATGTGTTTCATATTCTTTTCTAGTGTTCCACAAGTTTCATGGTGTCGATTTAGTAATTTTTCAATATTTATCGAAATATAAATATTTTTTTGGTTAAAATGTTCATAAAATTCAATTAGGATAGTCTACAATTTTTTTTTAATTTTAAAAAAAAATTTACTTTCAAAAAAAAAAAAAAAAAAAAAAAAAACCATCCTAAATTTGTTCTTTAATAATCTCGGACAAAAATTTAACCTATAAGGGTTGGAGCAGAAAAACTATTTCTAGTTTAAAATCTAAATTTTATGGATTAAAAATTTTAGGTTTTAACCCAAGGTTAGAGATGGTCTAAGGATTACCATTTTTTTCTTTCTTTCTTGTTTTCTATTTTAATCTTATTGAAAGTTATGTATAGAATCTGTTAGTTTTCGTCTACTAGCATCGGCATTCAGATGTAAGGTTGAATTATCCGGCCATCTTATATGTTTTTCTCGTTAGTCGACAGATGCATGTTTCCTCTCATAAACCTAAATCCTTAATTTTGTTGGAGAAATAAGTTTAGGGTGTGCTTTTATTGCTTTTAATTTATAAATGATTTATTAATTTGCGAACTTCAACGTCTTTACAGAGAAAAGAACCTTGTGGCAGACAGTTTTAGCAACTCATAGTCTTGATTTAGATTTAGGTAATTTTTATTTTGATACTCCATCTTCTTGTTCAGTTAGTTTCATTTGTAAGTATCGACTTGGAATGTTCCGGTCTAGATTTATTATTGAATAGGTTTGTCTGGGTTCTTACTTTTAGCCCCGTTTTTCAACCAAAAAAAAAAAAAAAAACCAAGATGATTATAAATAAGAATGTCCATTCAAATTAACCAACAAGATTGCTACCAAAGAGAACCCATATTTGACCTAATAAACGCCTTCGAAGTAAACATAAAATCAAATATACGGATGAACTTAAAAAATATTTAAAAATAAAACTATTTGTACCACATTTACTTGGTTATCTTATTTAATCATTACAGTCTACCGAGAGGGTTGGAGTCGTGTGAGAGAGATGTGAACAACTCATGAAGCATTGGTCTAAGATTAGGGGACTCCATACGACCATGGTGAGAGATTAGGCGCGTGGTATGCTTGATTATCCCTTGGGCGCTTGGCTTGGCCGACGCTTTTGCCGCTACTGGCTGGCAGGACCAGCAGCACTACACAATCAATGATACCAAAAGTCAAAAGCCCCAAACCTAACTATCTATCAAGCTATATAATACAAAGGTGTCCTCCCTACGAAGACTAGTGGCATCTAATTAACAATAATAATATCAATTAAATAATAGTTAACTATAATAATTAATTACTCTTTACTGGTTCATCACACAGAATGTGAGCTAGCCCTTTCTCTCTGGTTCTGATTCTTTAAGTACACAGCACACAGAAATACATGTACAAGAAATTTTTATACAGGACATCTTTAGGGGAAGGAATCTTTATTTTTTTTTGTATAAAAATGGGGATTAGTTTTAGGGTCCACACTTTATCGAACTTTAACGATCCGAACAGTCTTATTTTTAAGTTGCACATTATAGACCATCCTTGCAAAATATTAGTCAATTCAAAAATATTTGAGTCATCTAATTAAGTTTAAAGAAATTAAAGAATACTTTGTTATAAGAAAAATATTAAAATTTCATCGTGATAATTAAAAAAAGCAAATGATTTCGGATTGTACTGAATTTTTTCACGTATAATATATGAATGTAGACTTAAAAAATAGACGATTCGAATCTTTGAAATTCGATGTGGAGTAGGTCCCACAATTGATCCCCATTTTTTGAATAAAATAGAGATCTCTTCCCTTAAAAGGTCTGTACATATACATATACATATACATATACATATGCATATGCATGTGCATATAAAGAGAGATAGAGATTGCTCTCAAAAAATTATTGAAGACAAGGACAAGCTCACATGACCTAAAACCTCATCTTTCATGGGCCCCTTCGTATAAAACTTTCTTCTCCTTCTTCTGATTCCTCTCTCCATCTCTCTCCTCTCAGACATAGTAGTTTTCTTCTAAACAAGAAAAATGGAAGACGGAATTTGATGTTTTGCTTCTCATTCTAGAGCTTCACAAAAGGTAATTAGCCACTCAATTAAACAGTAAATTTAACCATATATGTGCGTGTGTGTGTGTGTGTGTGTGTTTCTCTCTCCCTCTCTATCTCTCTAGTTTGGTAGCATAGTTTGGTCAACACTAATATACCAAGAAGCTAGTTTACTACTTCATGACCTTATCGTTAAGCCGTCCATGACTAATTTTGTCACGTTTTATTAGGGTTTGCGTTTTTCCTGTTGTGGTCAAGGAAGGCACCGACCCTCTTTTGTGGATGATGAGACTCTCAGACTTTAGGGCCTCAGAGATCTGATCAGAAGCACAAAATGATAACAATTTTCAAAAGGGTATAAATTCTGGTGAGCATGCTAGCCAGTTTTTAATAAACAAAAATTTCCTTATTATTTTATTTAATTTTTTATTTACTACACTAATCAGGTGATAGGGTTTTGGATAATATTGCAAATTATTGTGATAACAAGATCATGGAATTTATGCAAAGAGATCAGAAGGGGTATTCTGACAAAGAAGACCAAGATCAAGATCTAGAACAAGAAGATCAAGAGGAAGAGGAGGATATAATCACCACCAGTAAGTTTTCTTCATCATCATCTCATACTTCAACTAACAGCAATTATGGGTCCTCACCAAAGTACAAAGCCATCCTTTTTCCTCCTCCTCCTGACCACCAGCAGCAGTACGGCCAGCAAAAGCCGCGGCTTAATATTCAGAATCACGGCTCTCCGGAAGCCATAAACTTCATGGACTTATCACTAAACAAAGATATTCAGGCTGCTGAGGGTGGTACTGACGAAAATTACTGGCCTGCGAGCTGCGAAAGGGAGCACTTGTTTGCGAAGGTTGTGACGCCGAGCGATGTAGGGAAGCTCAACCGCCTAGTTATTCCGAAGCAGCATGCCGAGCGGTACTTCCCGCTGGACTCATCATCAAACGACAAGGGATTGTTTTTGAATTTTCAAGACCGGATGGGGAAGCCGTGGCGATTTAGGTACTCTTATTGGAATAGCAGCCAGAGCTATGTCATAACGAAAGGGTGGAGCCGTTTTGTGAAGGAGAAGAAGCTGGATGCCGGCGACATTGTGTTGTTTGAGCGCGGGGTTGGGGAATCCGGTAAGGACAGGTTGTTTATTGACTGGAGGCGGCGCCCTCCCCCTCCTCCTCCACCTCAGCTACATCATCATAACCATTACGCTGGAGGCAGGTTTTACTCGCTGCTGCAGAGGCCACTGCCTTCGTCTGTGATATCGTCTATGCCTCTTAGACACCACGAACATTTTCTTCATTCGAACAACAACGTTCATCATCCGTACCACCACCACGACCATCAGATCATGAATCAACAATATTTACCGCATCAGATTCATCAGTTGCAAGGTGGAAGAGGTCATCACGTGATTCATCATCAATATCCAAGGGTTATCGATTCGGTTCCGTTTTATCAGCATGGTAATTATAGGAGTTCTACTACTAGTACTAGTAGTGAAAGTGCTAGTGTTGCTTCAGCTGGTAAAAAGCTTAGGCTTTTTGGTGTGAACATGGAATGCTCAAGTAGTCCAACCGAAAAGGAGGATCATCAAGAATGTCAGATATTGTCTTCAACAGCAATACCCTACCATCATCATCATCATCATAATCTTCCATCTTCGACGTCTTCGCTGGCTTCTGCTCCGCTTCAATTCATGAGGCTGCCCAATACAAGTAGTAGTAGTACTCCACCAGACCATCACTTCCTCTCAAACAAAGGGAAATCTACAACTACTTCGTTGTCGTTTTATTTGAATCCCTAGAGAGTTTTTGATTGTTTGCTGTTGAAGGACGACTTTTCGATCTTCACTAGTTCACTTTCCTCTTCAATTAAAATTTAAAGGTACCCCAATGGATAATGATTCCCCACAGGTCTAGCTGAAGATCAGCTGCCTTGCAAAGAAAGGAACAATCTACTTTACTTGTCGTTTTATTTGGACATATATGGTGATCCCAAGCTAGCTAGCAAAGAGTTCATTTAATGTGAATTTGCAGGTCAATATATTATAAACAGAAGTGAACAAGCATTTTCTTTACATCAGTTACGTACTAGTAGTTGAATTTGCAGTTTCAGTTTATCAGAGTACTAATACTACTGCAGCTGCATTTCTTTTTTGCCTTACATATATAACTGATTAGCTGATTTGCGCTTGAGCCTTACTGTATGCATACACATTTATATATGCACTCTCCTTACTACTACACAATGCACACCTAGCTACCAACATCCCACCAAAATTTAAGAGTAAAAAGGTTGAACTTTGATGAGAAAGTTTGCCCCTCAAAGATTGTACATTTTTTTGGCTGAAAATATTAATTGTATATTATTTAGTTCTCGTTACTAATTAATACATTGAAATATAAAGTTCAACTTTCTTCTGCTCAATTACTCGTTTGAATACTGCTGTTATATGTGTATGTAGCAGTAGCTGCAACATGCTTGATATGGACAATTAAATTAAATTAAATTTGTTTCTTTAGGATGTGCATATAGAGTGTTTAATTACTATTTGCTGCTGCAGCTGCAGCTAATTAAATTAGGCACCCTTTACAGTAAGGCTAAGTGCAGAAAGCTCACTGATGTAAAAGGGTACATCTGTTCATCTGTGTTCTTAATTAGAAACTTTATTTCAAAGTTTTTCTAGTGTTATGGCCAAGTACACACACACACACACATATATATATATAGTTATATAGTTATTGCCCCTACCTTTCAGCTTGTTATTACCTTGGTAATTCATGTTTTAATTTCGCTTATGATATATCCAGCCTGTTTTGAAATTGTCTTGATATCGATACTGCAAAAACCAGGCAGCTGCTAGAGTTTAACTAGGTGTAAATTAAAACTAATACCATAAATCTGCCCCATACATACGAGTAATTCCTTTTGTAAGAAATTAACCAGTTTAAATAATTTTTTCTGTAAATTAAGCAGTTCTCGTGTAATATTAACCTCTATATATCTATGTAGAATTATATATTTTTTGCAATATAGTTATATATATCTATATGAGAATGTATACATATAGTCTAACCATCTCACTTAATTAGTAAATACATATATTAATCTTCAACACCATTGGTAATTATCATGGATTATTTCATGCAGACATGAGTGTTAAAAAGAATAGCAATCATTTATTAATTACATATGATGAAGTAGATTTTTATAATTAGTACTAAACTTGTTTGTAACCTTAACTAATTTGTAACTACACTAATTAATCATATCTCCTTTCGTTAATCTTCATGCGCTAGCTATATATCTAATGCTAGTTTCCATATTAAACACTGCACTCTAACATGTTAGCTTATTCTCTACACTGGCTGCCAATGGCAACTGGTTAATTGCTAAAAGGCCGGCTAGGGTTCCATATTAAAGTTCATTTAATAGAACTAAGTTTTTCTTTTTAAAGAGAGAAATAAGAAGTAATTAATAAGAAGGATGTACTGCATGTAGAGGAACAGGTGATAAGCTGAAACAAATTACTACCCAAAAAACAGTTAAGTAAACTAAGATCAATGCATAATATGAACTTATTATATATGTAATGTAAAATTGTTTTATGTGAGGACTTAAATTTAGGATTAATGCTATTTATCAGTAGGATAATGTTAGGGAGACCAAATTTTAAACTAAATTTGCAAACCAAATAATATGCCGTCAATATGAAATAAACACGTTCATCAACACTTAAGTAATAATCTAATCATCAACATCCACATCAACACGTTATAAAATTTGGTTTAAAAATTGGAAATATTTTTCTCACCACAATAAACTATGATATGTATGCCCACCACCCTAGTTATCATCGTTAGATAAGTTTGAATTTCGAGATTCGTGTAATGGATAGACAAAAATCTCAAAATTAAAACTCATCAAATTTTGTTCAAATCTATATATGAGATACAACACACACACACACACACACACACACACACACACACACACACACATACACACACATATATAATTTTATTTTTTGTTCCCAAAGGAATGATACAAACTAGAACTACATGTATTTATTTGCAGAATTCCATTGTTACAACATCAAACACCTTACTGTAACTTAACAAGATTGTTGTGCAGGCCACGAAAAATCAGGATTATGATTGATTGTTTTCACAGCCGCATGCTGTTAATCTTCCTGATCAGCCTCAACTTGGTCTAGGGTTAGGGTTACCGTGTTGCTCTTGAAATCAAAAACCCTAATTTGATCCTGTTGGTAAAGTATTCAAATGGCAATCAACCCTAGCAATGCTCCTCGTTAATTTAAGGGTCGACGCATCAACAAAAATCCACACTTGAAAAATGAAATTTAGAAGCTATATCGACATTATGTATAAAAAGAAAAGTATAAATACAGCAAGGTGAGTTTATTGGAACGATCATATACCATGCCAACTGGTGATCAAGTCTAGCTAGCAATGGTCTCTGGAGAGTGCCCATCCTATATATGGCCTATATATGTACAGCAAGGAAGTCTATGTAGGTTATCTAGGCTTAATATTAGAAGGCACAATGATGATGGTGATGAACATGTCACATGGCTAAAGGTAGAAGACAAATCCTAATATGCTGCACGCAAGCGCAAGCGCGCAATTTTTCTTACTTATTTCTCACCAGTCTCAAAATATGTTAAGCTATGCCAAGATGCAAGCATACTGACTCTTTTTAACTGGGCACAAACTTGCATGGACCACATTAGGGTTCTAGCCAACTTTCTCTTCTACGATTGTTTACTAAGATCAAAATTGCAAGGGTCGAAGAGAGAGAGAGAGAGAGAGAGAGAGAGACTATTGATTTGTGGTAAGAATTTTAAATGCATCCATAGTAATATTGGGGGTGTACTGTATGGAGTTTAATGGACTACTTGACTCTCAAATTTAAGTGTATTCAATAAAAATTTTAGGAGTCAACAAAAGTCATCCTATATTGAATCAATAAAATGTTCATTTGAAAATGCTTTGAAAATGACTAAAAGCGCTTTAAATAAAAAGTTTTTTTGCTCCAACATTTTGGAGGGAAGCACTTCAAGTGTTATATCAAGATTCATTTGAGTTTTTACTAAAGATTGATTCCAAAAACATTTTCACCAAAATAGTTTTCAATCATTTTTAAAATATTTTTAAATGAGTCCAAAGACTTTTATGACTTCAAAAAAGTCTATGAAAGTATCTTGTGGTATTCAATTACGACTTTTTGTGAGTCTTCAAAACTTCATGTGTATTCAAAATTTCATTGATTTTAAGCTTTTTATTTTTATATTTTTTACTTTTTTTAAAGTCATGGTTTTGATGGACTTGATTGCTTTTATAGTAAGTTTTTTTGTCACTACAAATCCAACCTCTTCCCCTAAATTTTACCATAATGCAATGACTATCATTATCACTACTCCCACCACTGTGTCTCCACTACCACCCTTTTACCATGACCATCTCCTCCACCTTGACGTCCACTGCCACCACTGTCACTGTTGCCCCAGCCATTCCCATCTTCATGAGCATATTTGCCACCCCTACTATGATCTCGACCAACGCTATCATCACTACCACCATCATCACCACCGCCCCTATCCCTACTCCTTCCCACCCCACCACCGCAATCACCACCTCTATTATTATCGCCATCACCAAATACACTAATTTTACAACGACTATCTTGCCAACAATCATCACATGTCACTTTTTTTTTTTTTGGGTCAAGGGTTTACTTTATTTATAACACAAGAGATTACATAAGAGAATGCCCAAATATAATAAACACACAAACAAAAAGATGGACCTCTATAGTAACCCAACAGCCCAAAACATAGTTTTGAGCCCTAAATAAGAAAAACACCAAAGCAAACCCTAGCAGCTTCCTACCTCCGCGGCCAACCCGCTTACCGAACGAACATCCCCTACACCCATCTGAAATCAAAATAACTAAAGCCCCAAAGCTGGATGAAAAAAGAGCTACAACATGACCCCAAAACAGAGCCCCATTGTCCTCCACAGCAATAGCCGCCACAAATCAAAGGAAGCCAGCGGGAAAAAAACCCACTAGCAACCGTACCAACAAAGGCAAACCAAACTATGGAGCATCACATGTCACTTTGTCATAGTGATGTTCACCATTTTAATAATAATAATAATAATAAAAAAGTCAGTCAGTGAAGGCCCAAATTTTTTTTTCTTTTATCGAAGCCGAAGCCCGAACCCGGAAACAGGAAGAACCAAGTGTTTTCAGAGTGCCGAGTGAGAGAGACGGAGAAAAAAAAAAAAAAAAAAAAAAAAAAAGGAGAGAAAAGCAAAGAGCGCCATGGAGTACAGATGTGTATAGTGCGGCGGTCGCATGACGACTCTGTTCGTCCATTACTCTCCTGGCAACATTCGTCTCATGAAATGTGTAAATCCCTTTTTTCTCCCTTTTATTTAGTTATTTTCTTTGATTTTTGAGTTGTTTTCTGCTGCTACAAAATTGGTTTGATTTTTCTGTGAATAGGGTAATTTCAAGGCAGTTGCAGACGAGTACATCGAATGCGAACCCATAGTAAAGCTCCTATTTTTTTTCTTTAATTTTTTTCCTTCAAAATTCAACAAATTTGTTACATTTTTTTGTTGTTTGCACTGCCAGATTATTCCGATTGATTCGATTCTGCACAAGACCAAAGCTTACACACATTTACTCTATAATGTCATCGACCCACAAGCTCCATCTTTCCAGGTACTGCTTCTGGGGTTTTGCGGTTGTACTGTTTCTTTGAAAATTTGAGTTCCCAGGAGTTGCTTATTTGTTTTTTTGATACCCTTTCCAGAGTTTAATGTGGAAGTCGACTTTCGGGTTTCTTCTGTTGGATGCTTGTATCCATTACCATGCTTGTCAGGATTTTGTTTTTGGAAATTTGAATTTTGATTCTTTTTGCAAAATATGTGTTTTTATATGCATTGGGTGCCTTGGCAATGTGTATAGGTAGGAGTCTCTTCCTGGAAGGAAGCAAGGAAGAATGGGGCTTGTCCATGAGCTTCGCTTTGTTACTTTGGAGATTTCAAAAGGTTGGTGGAATTTTTACTGGATTTCACGGGTTTCATGCATCTAGGATGGTATATTATAAGTTTTAACAGATGGTTAAAATGTTCCCATTTCAGTCTCCTATGATAAGAAATGTTGTTCCTATTTCAGATGCTGATGGATGTTGTCTTTGGAAATATCATGTTTCTTTCAACCTTTGTACTCGCTATGAGGATTCTTTTCAGCACATTCCCCAGACCGCTCAGGTAACATTTCTTGTTGATACTTCTCAGGATGACAGTGAATTTATATCAAGATTTTAACTGAGGCATCTCTTTATTTACATGTCTGTTTGGAAACTTGTTCAAGAAGCACTCCTGTTTGATCAGTCGGTAAAATGCGTGATGATGGGTGCTCAAGCTTATACTGAGAATAATAATGATTAGGAATTTGGTCAGGCTTAAGTTGATATGGTTCAAGAGCACAGTTTGAAGTTTAGGGAAAAATATTATAGAACACATAAGAAAGAAAGACAATTTGTGATCACCCGTGAGTCATGGTTTAAAAGATAACTGGATTGTTGTAGCCAATAGATACATACATATTTACAAACCCTAACATATGAATGTGTGATATTGTCAATTCTGGAACAGGTATAAAGAGCTTCTGCTGGCAATATTTATTTCAAGTTAATTCAAGATTTTACTTATTGCAATGATGGTATGGTTCGGAAATCAAATGGCCTGTTTTTCTTTCTTGCATATTTGTACTTTTCTCCAATATACTTGGTTACACTCAACGCATATCTAATGTAAGGATGCGTTATGCGTTCTACAGGGATGGGAATGTCCTGTGATTTTGATCTAACACTGGCACTCAAAGGTCAGATGATAATGTATTTACAGTCCTGGACATGTTTTCAAAGTTTGCAATTTTCAATGCATATTTTCATTAACTAAGACTCTATGTATGTGTCAACTTTACCAGCGAAGTATCATCACAAATTTGTTATGGCAAAATGCTATTGCTAGATGCTCATTCATCCGATTACTTTAGGTCTAAGGATTACACATATTGTTTTATGATATAGAATAGATGTCCTGCTTCGATTTGATGCGGAGGTGTGCGTTAGATAACATTAGGTTTACTTAGTATAGACTCTTACTCTAAGGATGGCCAACTGCAGCTGAATATTCTTCTTTTCTTCTTTGTTTGAAACAGTGATAACTCGGTCACCTATGAGTAGATGTATAGCGGCCTGCTTCAGTGCTCATGTGGTAAAGTTTTTGGTCACACAGAGGTGCTGGAGTTGGGAACTTTGAGATCTTAAATCATTGTTTGTTGAATTCTCTCCCTGCATCGAAATGCAGCATTTCTTTTGACTCGTATTCTCATTTACTAATCTTTTGAACAAATAGATCAATACTTCCAGCAAAGGCGGTGGTGGTGTTGAGTGCTGTAATATGTGGTGTAAGTATATAAGATGTGTATGGTACTGTTATGAAATAGAGCAGTGCATATATTTTTTTTTTCTACCTATGTACATTGGACTAGTCCGTTCAGTTCTCCTTGGCGTATTAATATGAATTTTCAGCTTTACGTCTTAACCCATGGATGGCCGCTTAGTACTACAATATAGTGATTTCCCTCTTCACTGGAAGGTCTTAGGTTCGAAAAATGACAGGTTTGATGCTACTTTATGCTGACTGCAGGGCTTAACACAAAATTCTACTCTCCTTTCGTACTCAAAAGTTGTAACTTGGATTGGATGCCCGAAGGAGGCACGAAAAGTTAAATCACATGACAATGCTTGGTTGACCTAAGATACCATCATATTGATACATAAACATTGTGGGTTCAAATATGAGGAGAGAATATAACACACAACACTCCATTGAAATTTGAAATGTTCGAAAACAAACAACATTAACATACAGGAAAGCAGAAATGCTGCACAGGAACGCAGCAGCTGATACAGGGAAATTAATTAAAGCAATATTTACATAAGATGGGTGTTTAATTCTGAAGGTTATCATAGGATTAAACCCAATCATAATCATCCGATTTTGATAATGATTGTAATTACTACTCCATTAGGGATGGAACCTCAAATTTCAGTACCAACAACCAAGACATCACCATTAGTGTCTGGTCATTGTAATATATTTGAGACCCCAGCAGCCATGTTGCAGCAGATCCTGTAGAACGCCATTTCCAGAATAATCGCCCGTGGAACGAAAGACTCAGTACGAGTCTAGAACTAGAACTTGGTATTGAGGTTTTATACCATTCCCCATCGGGGACTTGATTGATGGTTTTGAGGAGATGCTTCGGTGAAAGAACCCTATAGTTGCCTGCTTCAAAACCGTATGCTTCCAAGACTCGGTTTCTGTTTTCTTCCAGGGCAGATGAGGAGCAATGCAATACTCTGCAGCTTCCCTAACCTGCAAATAGAGTTAACAGAAATCAAATTAAGTTGAGTGAAAACGGAAAATAGCCTCCCGAAGCTTCAATACAAGAGCTTTTATTAACTATTTCAGATTTGATTGCTCACCTTGTCTTGCGATACAGCTTTGCAGTCGGATTCTTCTCAGAGCAACTCCCAGTGGCTAGATGCGAGTGGATGATGGTTGAAGACAATTTTACTGAGTTCCTAACGATTTTGGATGAAGAAAGTAGACTATTTGAAGACAATTTGCTGAGGTTCGACTTTTGATGAAGAGAGTGCATTATTTGAAGACAACTTTGCAGTCGGATTCTTCTCAAAGCAACTCCCAGTGGCTGGATGCGAATGGATGATGGTTGAAGACAATTTTGCTGAGTTCCTTACGATTTTTGATGAAGAAAGTAAGCTATTTGAAGAAGATTTTGCTGAGGTTTGTACACTTTTGATGAAGACAACTATGCTGAGGATGATTTGTAGTTCTGCTGACAGGGGAGACATGGTCTCCAAACAACTGCTTCTGTGAAAAGACATCTTTGCTTTATCTGGCCTCGTCGGGGGAGAGTAGATTTCCAGATGTTTTCTCAAACACAGGCTTTTGCTGCTGTTTCTTTGAACTAACATGTTCACCTAACAAGGTTTGAAGTTTCTAAAACTAGGGAATGCTAAAAAAAGGCCAAAAAGAACAAGAACAGGCTTCGCTAACCTACATCGTTGTCCTGGACATGATCGTCCAAAACTAGCAGAAGAAGTTTCTGATGCCTAAAGTTCCTGAAATGTAGCTAAGGGTGTAGATAAGGGCGATGTTTTACTCATGCTATTGCTGTTTTCCGATACTACGATCTTGTTGTTTTTCAATAACTAAGATCTTGCTGTTCACTAGCTATGTTGATGTGTTTCTTGAATGGGTAATACCGACTAAACCTATCTTGCTGCGTTTCTTACTCCGCAGTTGCTATCCTAGACTGGTGCTCGTGACTCATAGAGTCACCAAAATCCTGTATGTTGTTTCTTCCCAGGATACTAACTTACTAATCCTGGTCAACAATGATAAACCAAGGACTATGGGAAAAAAGCTGCGATCTCCGTATCTTCTAGAGACGGCAACTCATCAATGCATCCAATATATTTACTGGAAAGCACAAATTCTCCCAAATCCGTGTTCATTGGTGACATCAACAAGTAACCAAACGGACCCATAAGCTCTTCTGGATTAAAAAAAGCCTGGATTAAGAATCATAAAGAGAAAGCGTTAAGTTTTGATGTAATTTTGTGCTCTATATTAGAAAGTTCATATAAAATGAAGGAAACAACTTCTCACCTCTGAAATCCTTTCATCTGTAGCTCGATCTTGAACACCATTAGCGAGTTTGCTGACTTGTTCATAGCGATCATTGGTTGAAATACTATTCTTGTATTCAGGAGAAGAACTATTATCCGGGATTAAAGATTGCCGCTTTGTGCAATCTCCATATACATTGGGATCAATTCCATGCCTAGTGTGTAATGGCTGCTGCAGTGTGTAGGGGCAGTAATCCTGTGGTTGATGTGGCTGTGGTGACTGCAGTGGCTGCAGTGTGGAGGGGCAGTAATCCTGTGGCTGATATGGCGGCAGAGTCTGATATGTCTGTGGTGTCTGCGGTGGCTGCAGCGGTTGAGAGGGTGAATTTGGAACTTCCCCCTCAGCACACAACTGGTGGATTAAGAATCACAAACAAGCAGGTGTTAAACTTTGGTAGGCTTTGCATGTTCATACAAAACATGTGGAAAAAGCATATGATTATCTCACCTCTCGAACCATATCAGATGCAACTGGATCATCAGAATCATTGAATTTCCAGCCACCAGTTTCATCATCACCATCAACGGTCAAAATGCCATTGCAGTCCATAGGACAAGAACCATCTGGAGACTCAGACCTATTAACATCTCCTGGCTCTTTGGATCCCAAATGTTCCACTGGCTCCGCAATCACATCACTTACAGCATCTCGATCTTCTTCAAAATTCGCTCCCGAATCAGCTAATTCGCCGCGGATTGAATCAACCTTCGGCTCCTTATAACCAGCTGACTTGTTCTTCAGACGGCAGATGACAAAGTCCATCCGCTTGGTGGGTTTAGAACCCACCTCAGTTTCAGTGAGATAATACTCATGTAATATCCAATCGGTCTTCGTTGCATTGGCCACACGACCTAAATAGAAGGTCAGAGTCCTCTTCATCCCAATCACAGCTTTGGACCGTTCGGCCTTGATCTCACGTTCCTTGCCGGTGATCTTGTAAAAGCCTTCGTCTGTGGCCCGGTTACAGCGAGTGCTGTTGGCGTACTTGTAATCGGGCCGGCTGAAGAAGAATTCTGAAATCCAACAACAAAAACAAAATGTTCAGAATTTGAAACCAACCACTCCAATTCTTGAAGTACAAAATCACAAAAACTGAAAAAAGATCATTACAAAATAAACTAAATATTGAAATGTGAAGCCAACCAAACTTCAAATCTTGAAGAAAAAAAAAAAAACAGCACAAAGATTGAAAATTTACGTAAACAACGTCATAATCCATCAGAAACAAGATACGGGTAGTGAAGAGAAAGTAAGATACAATAATTGGTTACCTGGAAGATCGCCGGGATCGTACTTGCTGACATCGATTTCACGGATGAAGTGGCGGAAACGGGAGTCGGTGCCCTCTATCTTCTTCCTCAAGTAGTAGCTAACCAGCGACTCATCAGTGGGGTAGAATCTGAACCCAGGTAGTGGGATCACATTCACACTCACTGCATCTCCTTCTTCAGCTGTCATGCCGCTGCGGTTGCTGCTGCTACTGCTCATCTCTCTCTCTCTCTCTCTCTCTCTCTCCCCGATCGAACTGTGATTATTGTTTGGATTGCGTGGGGAAGCAGCATTTCATCGGTGTTGTATTTATATACACTTAATACACTCATCAAAGACCCGCTTATCACTCGAAGCACTGGTGTTTTGAAAGTTGACTAGTGCTTTTTTCTAGTCTTTGAGCTTATGGCGTAAGTTCATCTTTTGCTCCCTACACTTTTGGGGTTTCTTTCATTTTGGTCTTCCAACCTTTTCTTACCAGTTTCTTTTATTCGAGTAATATACTGGAGTCCAATTTAAATTACATTGTGATAAATTTTAACTTTAGTAACGAGAGAAGAGGAAGAGCATACTCTTCTATCTAACTTGGTTACGCTTAATTTATACGATGTTAATTACAAATCAATTTTAACTTAAGCAACGTGAGAATATTACACTGTTCTAACTAACTTGGCTATGCTTAATTTTTCGACAAGAAACAACAATGAGATTTCATTAATCAACCAACACCATTACACCATTACAGAGGTGCCAACCACTTGGAACCTAAACTTTTCTTTTTTAACAAATGATATTATCTACACTAAAGAGGCAAGAGAGTTGGCTAGCTAAGTCTCATAATGAGCTAAGAATCAAATATGAAATCTCTCGCTTACCAATGAAAAGGAAAACCACGAATTGTAGTACTAAGTGGCGAACCCAAACCATTTATTAGGTTGTAAAGAATTGTCCTCATTTACCACACATTTTTAAAAAGCTAGGGGAGCAATTTGGTTAAAAAAAAGTTCAAAGACCCAAATAGAACAAATACTAAAACTGAAGGCGCAAATTTATACTAAAGTCTTGAGCTTGTGATACAAGTTTACCTTAGTCACAAACATGGCTGCGACATATATGTGGATGACATCAACGTCTTTTAACGCGGAAGTTTTAAGTTTATAATTTTTTCCTGCCGTGGGAATCTTCTGATTCTTATCCGCCCCTCCTGAGGCAAACTGCACCTAACGGTTACAAGAATCATTTAGGTGGTTACACTTTTTTGCTATCTAACAGCTCATGTTGTGCCACATGGCTCAACCATTTTATTCTTATCAGCCCCTCTCGAAAGGTTGAGCTTTATTAACCTTGTCCAATATTTTTTGGAGGGAAGCATACGATCGGGAGAAGTCGAGAACTTTCTAGACTCTGAAACATGGGTGCTTTGCTCACAAGTCACAAGAAATAATTGCTTAGAGTATAGTGATAAGAAATGTAGTTCCAACTGTCGGAACCGGATAACGACCAAAGTGAAGGGGTGTGGGACCAAAGAGTCAGTATTCGTCCGTACGAGGGATTGTCAAATTTCTTAACAGACTAGCCTTCATGTATGCACTCATGCGCGTGCAGAGTATATTTTTTGAATTACAACTTGCTACGCTCGATTTACACGTTTTAAATGTATTTATATGTGTTAATTGCTTCAATAATTTTTTTTATGAAAAAAAAAAAAGTCAAATATTTGAAGTAAATAAATAATATTCGAACATGCTAGAAGAAACCCCTCATAAACCAATCAAAGCAGATGAATCCATATAATAAAATCGGTTTTTCAATTTCCATGTACATTCTATTGAATTTACATTAAGAATAGAGAAAATAATATTTAATAAACATCTGATTGTATTACATTATTACTAGCTCATTGTGAGATTAAGTCCACCCCTCCCTTTTAGTATAGAAATCATCATTTGTTAAAATAAAAAGTAAAAAAAAGGTCATTTGACAACTAATTGAATCATATTATTATGCTTGTGCAAAAGATCTTTTTTTTATTTTTTTTATTTTTTTATTTTTATAATTGGCACGACGTGTCTCTTAAGTGTTTAAAAATAGAAAAATAATATAACTAATTGAATCACATTATTGTGCGTGGGTGAAAGACCTTTTTTATTTTATTTATCACTAGTTGTACATAACTCTTAAGATATTTTGAACGTGTTTAAAAGTAGAGAAAATAATATTTAATAAACAACTGATTGGATCACATTATTGATAACTCAAATTTGAAATCCAAAGTTCCACGTGAACAGAAGTTGAGTGCGCTGCCACGCGAGCCTCACCGCTTGCATGTTGTCGGCTCAAATGCCTAAACTTGCGCGTGAACTGCATGTGCCTGACGCAAAAAATTTATAAATTTGGGTGACGTCACTTTAACGTCAGACAGTCTCAAGCGAGGAGTCAGGTCATGCTCGCCCAATTGCTCGGTCCTTGGGAGACGGGCCCACTAAATTGCCTTACTAATAGGCATGCGCTGGAGCCGATTTTAGAGGAATTGGTTGATTTAATCGTGGGCCAATTTCTAGGGGTGGACATGCTCCAAGTAAGTAGAAGTATTTTTGCTCATCATTATTTAATGTGGTGTATACTTATCATTTTATTTATCATTATTAGATGAATTTGAATTTCAAGATTCGTGTAATAGATAGGAATAAATTTTAAAATTCAAACTCATCAAACGATGATAAATAGGATAATGAACATACACCACACTAAATAGTGGTGAGCAAAAATGCATTTCAAGTAGGATGAGCTTTGGTAAATTTTTCCAATATTTTTTTTGGAGGGAAACACGTATTCCAGTGAATACACTACATCACTACGTTAACTGTGCATGTCCATGACAAGAATGGAAGTTCAAAGTATAACAGATGTCGAGTTTGTATATGGCTTACTTGTAGTACTTGCGCATGTGTATAATTTAGATGAATTACACCAGGAGGAACTTATTTTGATTGGATTTTTTAAGAGCACGAGTGATTTACAAGAAGTAAAACTCCAACAACCTGTAAAAATTTGACAATTTAAAATATTTCAAATTAAGTTCTTCACAGTAACAATCTAACTCTTAACCATTCTTCTCTTCCCAACGTTTAATCTCAAATTCGAATTCTTATTTGCCTCATTCATTGATTCATTGCCTTCATTTTGTCTATTACATTGGCAGCCATGATATTGAAATGCCCGGAACCAGTATTTAAGTGACAAAAATAGCAGAAAATATTTGAAGTAAAACGAAAAACCAATACAAAATATTCCATTCAACATTCAAATGTTCGAAATAAACCACATTCACAAAAGCATTTTTCTTTTGATACAACATTCTCAAGGACATGATAATAAAAGCAATATTAACAAAGATACAAGTTTTGGTGTTTCACACTTAAAAAGTAGGTCATTGATAAGTTTAAGACCTTCAATTTTGATCATACATATTTTTTGAAATATAATTGTAACCACTACTCCATCGAGGATGGAACTCAAAGCTCCAACTTTCATAACCAAGACATCACATAAGTGTCTGGTTATGTTAATATATCAGTTGAGTCTCCAGCAGCCATGTAGCAGCAGCTCCTGTATAGTGAAGGTGGAACAAAGCAAATCCGCTTTTGATCGAAAATCATGGGACGTGGTTGGAATTGAAATGTTGTTACCCTGGACGATTTGATTTATCGCTTAATGGAGATGCTTCCGGGAAATCGAAAGAACCCTTCAAATTCGCTGCGCATTCCATGCCTGCCTGCTTCAGACGGTATGAGCAGACAGCAATACAATGCGCTAGCTGCAGCTTCACAGTCCTGCAAACAGAAATCAAATCAAGAACATCAGTGGACGTAGAAAATAGCTTCTCGGAGTCAAAGGTTAAGCATAAGACCATTCATTTAATCACTGTGATGTTTTCAGCTTGATTTTCTCACCTTGTTTCTTGAAACTGCTCTGCATTCGGATCCGTCTTGGAGCATCTCCATGGGGGTAAACAGGAATGGATGTTGGCGGATATTGCAGTTGTCTGAGGAATATCTGTAGTTGTGTTGATAGAAGAAGTACCGTCTTCGAATAATGCTTCTGAGAAAAGACATTATTACCTTATCTGGACTCGTTGGGTTCGGAGAATCCGGATAGCAGTTCAACCATTTGCATTTTCAGGTGTTCCTTTGTACCAACAAAAGTTCACCTAACAAGGTTGAAGTGTACAGGACTTGGAGATTCTGTGACACACAACAATGATTCGGACATAATTGTCCAAAACCAATACTGTGCGTCAAAGACTACATATCTTGGTTTCAGAAATGTAGATAATTGTGAGTGTCTTTCAATTATTTGTAGGAGAATATCACGATGTAATAATGTGAGTTTGAGACACATTCTTACAAGGCCCTCTTAATATTCTCCTACAGATAAGAGTATCGTTGTCATTAACGATATTGGAGTTTTCCTCCAATAGCTAACGCAGAATAATCTTTTGCACGTCCGTGGAGTAACTCAGCATTAGTATCACTGGTTTACTCCACTATACCCATCATACACCCATCCCAATGATTCTCATAGGTTGAAGCCATTGGAAAGAGTGTACGATGCCTCTGTTATTCAAGAACTTTGCGGGAAAAGAGTCGCAAGCTCCATATTTAAAGATTGCGACTCGTTGCGTCCAATACAGGTATTGGCAAGCAGAAGCTCTCCCAGTTCTGAGAACAATATTGGTGACTGCAATGGGTAATTCTGTAGCTGATCAAACATTTGGAAGGGTGATCCCCGATTTTCTTCTGGCTGAGAATAAGCCTGGATGAAGAATCATGACAAGCAAGCGTTAAGTTTTGATGTACTTCTGGTGCACCATATTAAGTTCATGTAATAAAAATTCAGTCTAACCTCGGAAATCCTTTCATTTGCAGCACAATTTGGAGAATTATAAGCGATGTTGATAACTTGTTCGTTGTCATAATTGGTTGCAATGTTGTTCTTATTTGTAAGATAAAAACCATTATCCCCACTTGGAGATGGACAGTTACTGAATTCACCGATATGGGCATCTGGAACATCTCCCTGCTGGTGTTGCTGATGTGTTTGAGGTGGCTCGGGAGGAGGAAAGGGTGAATCCAAATCTTTTTGTAGCCCAGCAGGAAACTGCCATATTAAGATGGACAAAACAAAGCCAAGGTTAAATTCTGAGTAACTTCTTGTGTTTCGTATTACCAAGTTCACATCAGAAATCTTTAAAATGCGTATTCATCCTCACCTCCAGAATCACATCATTTAGAGCTTGATCAATAAAATAAGATGAAATACCGCTACTAGGTTCACCATCACCATGATTACCATTGGCAAGCACAGCAAGTTCTAGCTGTTTGTATGTCAGAATTTCCTCTGTGTCGGAAATCACATGATTCATTGCAGCAGCTTGGTTATCAGTATTATAGGTTATGCAACCACCAATACCAGGATCAATTGATTCATCACTACAGACATCAGGAGCATTTCCAAGCTGAGGTGGCTGATGCGGCCGAGGTGACTGGGGAAGAGGAAAGAGTGAATTCAGATATTCACCTGCTGGAGCACATGACTGCAATGTGTAATTCTGTAGCTGATCAAACTGTTGAAAGGGTGATCCCCGATTTTCTTCTGGCTGAGAATAAGCCTGGATGAAGAATCACGACCAGCAAGTGTTAAGTTTTGACGTATTTATGGTGCACCATATTAAGTTCATATAATAAAATGTTCATTCTCACCTCGGAAATCCTTTCATTTGTAGCAAGATTTTGAGAATTATAAGTGATGTTGATAACTGGTTCGTTATCATATTTGGTTGCAATGTTACTCTTAATAATATCATAAGAATCATTGTCCCCAATGGTAGATGGCCAGTTACTGAATTCGCCAATATGGACGTCCGGAAAATTTCCCAGCTGGTGTGGCTGAGGTGGATCGGGAGGAGATACGGGTGAATCCAAATCTTTTTCTAGCTGATCATAAAACTGCCATATTAAGATTCACCAAACAAAGCATAGTGTAAATTTTGATATACTTCTTGCAATTCGTATTACCAAAATCCACATCAGAATGTTTAAAAACAAGTATTCATCCTTACCTCCAGAGTCATATCATCTACAGCTTGATAATTAAAATCAGATGAAATGCCGATACCAGGTTCACCATCATCATGATCGCCACTGCCAAGCACAGCACGTTCTGGCTGTTTGTCTGCCAGAATTTCTTCTGTGTTGAGAACCATATGATTCATTGCAGCAGCTTGGTCATCAAAATTATAGGGGATGCAGCCACCAGTACCAGAACCAGGATCAACAAATTCATGACTATAGATATCAGGAGCATTTCCAAGCTGCGGTGGATGATGCGGCTGAGGTGGCTGATGTGACTGATGTGGCTGAGGAGGAGGAAAGGGTAAATCCAGAAATCCTCCTAGCGGAGCATAGGACTGCCACTGCTAGATTAAGAATCACAAAACAAGCAAGTGCTAAGTTTTGATACATTTCTTGTGCCACATATTAACATTTTACATCAGAAAATGTTTGGAAAAGTTCTTATTTTCTTCATGAAAGATTAGCGCATGCCCGTCAAAGGTACAAAGTACTACTCTTAGTCATGAAGGAGAGAGGACCAACACATCTAGAAACCTCCCTCTGATTCCATGTTTATTAAAACAAAAAACAATAAAGATAAATACATACGGGGACATAAAACCAAACCTCATGAATCATGTCACGGAGAGCTTGATCAATAGAATCAGATGAGACACCGCCACCAGGTTCACCAAGATCATGATTTCCACTGCCAAGTAGATCATCTTCTAGCTCTTTATATGCCAAAACTTCTTCTGTATCTGGAGTCATATGATTCATTGCAGCAGCAGAAACGGCATGATCATCTCTGGGACTAGAGGCAATGTTTCCACAATTACCAGGATCAGCTAAATCATCACAGACCGATGTACCCTCAGGCTTCTTTTTATCAGACTTAGAATCAACTGGCTTATACTTCAGGAGGCAGAGAACATAGTCCCTCTTCAGATCCCTCTCCTGACGGGGACTAGAACCCTGCTTAGGTTTAGTGCAATAGTACTCGTGTATGATCCAGCCAGTCCTAACGGATTTAGACGCACCACCTTCTTGGAAGGTCTTGATTTGGAAGGTTAATGTCCTCTTTTTGCAAGTGAAGTATTTCAAGCTGATATCCCGCGGCTTGCCTGTGATCTTCCAAGAGCCATGCTCTGTGACTCTGTTGCAGCGAAGACTATTTATGTATTTGTAATCACACCAGCTGAAGGAGTACCACGCCTTAGCTTGAAAAACAGAATCAGGGAACATGTGTTCTGCAACACAAAGCAAGATAATGAAAATTTATAACGACTAAAGATTATATTGGATTGAATAACTCATTAGATTCAGGGTCCATTTGGTGCCTAGGATTTGATCGAATTGGATAACTCACAATCTTTAAGCTATGTTGATGGGATAAATGAAGAAATTTTGTCCACTTTGAAGGTAGAACATGGATTACTCATAAGGAAACTTATTTCTTCCAATCACTACAAAATTGGCAGGATTTGAAAGAATAAGTTTCCTTCATGTCCAATCGCACCTAATACCATCAGACATACCTTGAATGTGATGAGATATCCAACACAATCCAATCCTTCGCACTGAACGATCCCTCGATGTAAGTTGAAGGAAGAAAAGAATGCAACTTCCAAGTTGAAGGTAGAAGACGGATTATTCATCAAGCCAACTTATCCTTCCTAATCCTACCATGGAAGGATTGGAAGGGACAAGTTCCCCCCATGACCAATTGATCTTCTACCTTCAATTGGGCACAAAATATCGGAAACTAACATCTATATCTTCATTCAACATCCATCCATTCAACCTAGTAACTCCTCCATCCAATCTAATCCTAGACGCCAAACGAGGTCCTAGTCTTGAACAAATAAAACAAGATTATGCATGCTCAAAAATCATACCGTGAAAAATAATATATACCTGGGTTTTAAAGAAAATGTGAGATAGAATAATGGGTTACCAGGTAAATCCCAAGGCTCGAACTTGCAGACATCGATGACAGGAAGGAAGTGGCAGGCTTGGGATTTGTGACTTTTCATCTTCTTCCTCAAGAAGTCTGCCATTTCCTTTTCAGTGGGATGGAATCTGATCGCAGCCACCATGTCCGGCACCGATTGTGCGGTTGTTGTTCTGGTGGTGGTGGTGCTGTTTCCCATCCCTCGTCCTTCTCCTTCAAATGTTTTATAATTTTTTTTTTGGTGAAGAAATGTTTCATAAAATTGTAAACAAGAAAAACAGATGTTTTTGTCTTCAGAAAAGAAAGCGGAAGAAGTAGAGCAAGTGAAGTTGTACAGAAAGGTAAAGTCAGTGCCACTGTGCTCCTTGACTTCCAAGTATTCTTGATGGTGACGGAAATGGTTTGAGTATGGATCTCACTCGCTTATAATTGTGTTTTTTAGTTTACGAATAATATTAGGAAAATTAAATTTGTAAATTAAATGATATGTGATTGTTAGTAATTGGATTATTATTTAAATATTAATGAATATACTTATTTATTGTTTATGACGTATTAATTTATTTATAAATTTAGTTTAAAATTTTAACCCTTCTAACTTTATCCGTTAGTTCAAAACATTAGTTAAGTTTATAATTTTGTCCTAAAATGGGAATCTTATGATTCTTATCAGCCCCTCTCGAAAGGTTGAGCTTTATCAACCTTCTCCAATATTTTACGGAGGGAAACATACAATGGGAAAAGTCGAGAACTTTCTAGACTCTGAAACATGAGAGCTTTGCTCACAAGTCACAAGAAATAATTTTTTAGAGTAGAGTGACAAGAATGTAGTTCTAACTGTCAGAACCGGAAACGATCAAAGTGAAGGGGTGTGGGACCAAAGAGTTAGTATTCGTCTGTACGAGGGATCGTCAAATTTTTTGACCGACGTGTATAATTTAAAAGGTTCTAAAAAACGTTTGACGTTAGTCGAACTGCGGGCTAGCCCTTAGTGCCTAGACAGCTAGGCGGGATCTAGGCTGATTTAAATAAATTTCTTATATATTTTATGAGTTAATTAAATTTACTATATCAAATTTAAATAATTATTGACTAATATGTTATTTTTTATAGAAGAACATACATATGTTGTCACATCCCGCCTTCCCTCGCAGAGATATTGTCCGCTTTGGCATTCCCTGCCCTGGACTAGGTCGCAAACAGCAGGGAATGCCAAAGCGGACAATATCTCTGCGAGGGAAGGCGGGATGTGACAATTTGGTATCAGAGCCAGACTCACGGTCGTGGTGTGCCGACGAGGACGTCGGACTCCCTAAGGGGGGTGGATTGTAGTATCCCACATCGCCCGTGAGGGCGTGGTCTTTGGGCCTTATATGTCCATGTCTGGTGGTACCTTTCAAGGAGGCCTTTTGGAGCTGCGGCTTGCAAAAACAAAACCGTGAGGTAGCCCTGCTGTCTGCGACATAGTCCAGGGCAGGGAATACCAAAGCGGACAATATCTTTGCGAGGGAGACCGGGATGTGACAATTTGGTATCAGAGCCAGACTCACGGTCGTGGTGTGCCGACGAGGACGTCGGGCTCCCTAATGGGGCTACCTCACGGTTTTGTCTTTGCAAGCCGCAGCTCCAAAAGGCCTCCTTGAAAGGTACATGCAGGCATGGACATATAAGGCCCAAAAACCACGCCCTCACGGGCGATGTGGGATACTACATATGTGAATGTTTAATGTATATATAGACGGATTTATAATTTTCCGAAATTTAATTAAATTTATTATAACAAAAACTAGTTATACTTAATAAGACGGACTGTTTTATTAACCCAAATTCAAACATTAATAAAATAGTAACGACATATAATGGCCCAGCCCAGCCCACCCCATTCTTTCTCAATTCTTTCCCTCTTCTCCTCTCTCGAATCTGCAACATCGTTTTAATATATTAATTAAAAAAGCCAAACCATGCAGCTTTTACTCTTCTCCTCTCTCTCTCGAATCTGCAACATCGTTTTAATATATTAATTAAAAAAGCCAAACCATGCAGCTTTTACTCTTCTCCTCTCTCTCTCGAATCTGCAACATAGTTTCAATATGTTAATTAAAAAAGCCAAATCGTGCAGGTTTATATGCTTTACCTCTCTCTCTCTCTCTCTCTCCCCTTTATTATGAGTGCCTCGTTTCCATCAACTAATTATAACCACATGGTTGTTTTATACTCATACATCTCCGGCTCTCATTCTATTTCTTTTTGGTATTATAAGCAGCCTCGTTTCCGTCGCCGTTTGTTCTTCACTTCTTCTCCTCTCTCTCTTAGAACTGGGTTGTTCTCCCTAACGGACCTCTCCCACCGCCTCCACAAAGCTACTCCAAACCTCCAACTTTCATTCCAAAAGTCCGATAGAATTCCAAAAATCCCAACGAGCAAACAACATCCAAAGAAATCTGAGGTGGATTCTTTGAACAATCAAGTGGGGTTTGTATGTATCGCTGAGATTTCCAGTTTAATCTTTCTCTTCTCGTCAGATTGCAGTGAAACGGAGAACCGACAAGGCTCCGAGAGGCCGCTAGATCGCCGCCTACCACTGCCGAGACCACCAGACCGCCTAAATAGCGCCTAGGTGGCCGACTAACTCTTACCCTATTTGATGAACATTTTAGCATAAATCCCGGCGGCCGACTAACTCCTACCCTATTTGATGAACATTTTAGAACACTGATAATTTAGATGATTCGTTACATTCATGAGGTACGATATATGATTCCGTGACATGTTGCATGAAAATGTATTCTTTGATCAGATCAAAGAGATTATTATTAAGCCTATGAATCCCATATCGAAAAAAAGGCAATGCATCTGCATATAGAAATTTTGACTACTATTTATATTGTTAATTAGAAGTGAGATAATTTTTACCTACTACTTTTACCCACTCTCATAACTTTTCGTGTTTTTAGCCGTCAGATTAAATAAACTAAAAACAAATAACTCACAAGACTTAACATAAATATGTAAGAGGTTAAAAAGAGTGCATATTATCATTTCTCTTGATTTGACTGTATAACCTCACTTCTTCATAGTTGAGAGTACGAATTAGTTACAATGCTACAATTTTTCTGTACTTTATATGCGTTTGATTACTATAATATTTTTATACTGGCAGTTAGTGTTGGGGGACTTTTGGGTTGAGGTGAACTTAGGCTTTGAGAATATCCTCTTGTCTCCCTTGATTCGGTTTTGTACCATGTTCCGAAATATCTCGAAAGAATTAGCATGTCTTAGGAAATATCCCAGTTGTATCAATGACTCGAAAATAACATGATTAAGCAAATAATGGCTTGCTCAAGTGAGGCATGGTGTGGAAGCTAGAAGTTTATTAGTTTTGCATGAAAGATAGAGAGCTTGGGCGATTGTATGGTGTTTGCTGTTGGATAATGTGGGCTTCCTACAGTGGCAGAGGCTTACGATGGCTGGAATACTCAGAGGGAAGTTATGGAAAATACTTCGTTTGCATGGTGGCGTTTTGGGTTTCTTTTGGTTCTTTGCGTGGCTGGGGGATTAGGGAATCCTCTCTCTAAGGTTCTCAACCTATATTTGTAGCTGAATGATTCATTCTCAAAGAATCTCTAGTTAGGGCATGTTTCTCCCTCCTCTTTCTCCCTAGTTCCAAAGACTCCAAGACCTAACTCTTTGAGCTGCAAGCCAAACCAAGTTTTCTTGATGGTGATTCCTTTTACTTTTAACGCGTTAGTTAAGTTTATAATCCATTTTGTCCCGTCGTGGGAATCTTATCAGCCTTGTTTGAAAGGTTGAGCTCTAGTAACTTTCTTCAATATTTTTTGGAGGGAAACATACAATCGAGAGAACATTCTAGAGTCTGATACATGGGAAGCTTTGCTCACAAGTCACAATAAATAATTGTTTAGAGTAGAGTGACAAGAATGTAGTTCTAACTGTCCGAACCTGGATAACGACCAAGGTGGAGGGGTGTGGGACCAAAGAGTTAGTAGTCGTCCGGATGATGGATTGTAGAATTTTTCAACATGTGCATGATTTAGATGATTCGTTATACTCATGCGGTAATGATATATAGGTACGTGACATGTCGCATGAAATTTATTCTTTGACCAGATCATTATTGAGCCTATGAATCCCATATCCCAAAAAAAAAAGGAAAAAAAAACAATGCATATGCATATAGAAATTTTGACTACCATTTTATATTGTTACTTAGAAGTGAGATAATCTTCACATACTCTTTTTAGTCTCTCCCACATTTTTTTTATATTTTATTTTTGGTCGTGAGATTGAGTTAATCAAAAGCAAACAACTAACAAGATTAAACAGAAGTATGTAAAAGGTTAAAAAGAGTGTATATTATCTTTTCACTTGATTTTACGGTATAACCTCACTTCTTCATAGCTGAGATTACGACCTACTTACAATGCTACAATTTTTCTGTAATGAATTTTCTAAAAGATGAATTTGAATCTGTTAATAAAATAGAGATAAATACTATTAGACTAATATTTTGTTTATTTATTTACTTTTACAACAATTTTAGAATGGTTTGGACTTTATATCGGTTTTGACTACTATAATACTTTTATGGTGGCAGTTAGCAAAGAGTTTTTCTTTTCTATTTTTTTTGTTATTTTAGAAATCTCGGCATCACAGGTGAGGAGTATGTAGCTTAAGTAGTTTGAGATAGGCTAAAGACCAAAACCCAAAAATCCCATCTTTTACGTGACACCTAACTCTGATCATTTTTCCCCTTCTGAATTTAAATCTCAAATTCCAATTCTTGTTTACCTCATTCATTGATTCATTGCTTCATTTGGTCTACTACATTAGCAGCCATGACATTGAAATGCCCGAAACCAATTTTCCAGTGACAAAAATAGGATAAAACATTCACCACAATTCAAAAGTAATGTCATGGCTTTAATACTACAAAGCATTCAGTGTTACAACTATTTTAGTTGTTATATTTAATTTTCACAACTTTATATTCAATCCTTTCCATCCGATTTTCAAAACCACTCACTATGTTCAATCTTACCCTTCCGGTTTTTTATATTCAATTTTTAAAAAAGACTGCAACAAAGTAATGAAAAAACAATGCAAAGTACTCCAAGCAACATTCAAATGTTCGAAATAAATCACATTGACAAGAATATTTTCCCTTCAATACAACATTCTCAATGACATAATAATAAATACATATTAACAAGGATACAAGTTTTGGTGTTTCACACTTAAGATAGGTCATTGAAAAGTTTAGACCTTCAATTTTAATCATACATTTAAAAAAAAAACAAAAACAACTGGAACAAGTACTCCATCAAGGATGGAACTCAAAGTTTCAATTTTCATAACCATGACATCACATTAGTGTCTGGTTATGTTAATATATCAGTTGACTCTCCAGCAGCCCTGTAGCAGCAGCACCTGTACAGTGAATGCGGAACAATGCAAATCCGCCTTTGATTGAAAATCATAGGACTTGGTTGGAATTGGAATGTTGTTACCATGGACGACTTGATTTGTCACTTAATGGAGATGCTTCCCAGAAATTGATAGAACCCTTCAATTCGTTGCACATTCCATGCCTGCTTTGAACGGTATGAGCAGAAAGCAATACAATGCGCCAGCTGCAGCTTCACTGTCCTGCAAATACAAAATCAAATTAAGTACTTCAGTGAACATACCAAATAGCTTATCGGAGTCAAAGGATAAACATAAGAGCATTCATTTAATCATGGGGACAAAGCCAGAAAGTGTTCACTTCATGTTTTCAGCTTGATTTCGTCACCTTGTTTCGTGACACAGCCCTGCATTCGGATTCTTCTTGGAGCATCTCCATGTGGGTAGACGGGGAAAGATGTTGGTGGATATTGCGGTTGTGTGTTGTTTGACTTGTAGGATAGAGAGCTACTCGTCTGAGGAATACATGTCGTTGTGTTGATAGAGGAAGTACCGTCTTCAAATAATGCTTGTGAGAAAAGACATTGTTACTTTATCTGGACTCGTCACGTTCTGAGAAAGGTAGAATTCCGGATAGCATTTCAACCGTTTGCATTTCGTGGTGTGCCCTTGTACCAACAAAAGTTCACCTAACAAGGTTGAAGTATACAAGACTTGGGGATTCTGTGACACACAACAAAGATTTGGACATAATTGTCCAAAAGCAATGTTGTGTCAAAGACTACTTAACTTGTTTTGCTTTTCCTGGACATAAGTGTCCGTACTTACGAATAAGTGTCCAAAAGCTAATGCAGAATAATCTATTGGGTATAATCTAGATATTCTCCTACAAATAAGAGTACCGTTGTTCATTAACGATATTGGAGTGTTTCTCCAATAGCTAATGCAGAATAATCTATTGCGTATCCGCGGAGTAATTCAGCGTTAGTATAACTGGTTTACTCCACTGCCCTCATCGCACACCCATCCCAATGACTCTCATAGGTTGGAGCCATTCGAAAAAGTGTACGATGCCTCTGTTATTCAAGAACTTTGTGGAGAAAGAGTTGCAATCTCCATAGCTAAAGATTGCAACTCAATGCATCCAATATAGTTATTGGCATGCAGAAGCTCTCCCGGTTTTGAGAACAATATTGGTGACTGCAATCTGTAATTCTGTAGCTGATCAAACGGTTGAAAAGTTGATCCCCAATTTTCTTCTGCCTGAGAATAAACCTGGATGAAGAATCATGCTTAAGTGTAAAATTTAGTGTACTTCTGATGCACCATATTAAGTTCATATAATAAAAATTCATTCTCACCTCGGAAATCCATTCGTTTGTAGCGTGATTTTTAGAATTATAAGCGATGTTCATAACTGGTTCGTTGTCATAATTGGTTGCAATGTTATTTGTATTAGTAACATACCAATCATTATCCCCAATTGGAGATGTCCAGTGACTGAATTTGCTACTATGAATGTCCGGAACATTTCCCAGCTGGTGTGGCCTATGTGGCTGATGTGGCTCGGGAGGAGATAAGGGTGAATCCAATTCTTTTCCTAGCTGAGAACAACACTGCCGTATTATAAGATTCACAAAAAAAAGAAAAGAAAAAAGAAGCCAATTGTTAAATTATATATATACGTCTTGTAATTTGTATGACCAAGTTCACATCAGAATGTTTAAAACGTGTATTCATACTTACGTCAAGAATCATATCATCTACAGCTGGATCATTAAAATCAGATGAAATGCTGCTACCAAGTTCACCAACATCATGATCGCCACTGCCAAACACACAACTATCTAGCTGTTTGTGAGCCAGAATTTCTTCAGTGACGGGAATCATATGATTCATGGCAGCAGCTTGGTTATTAGTATTATAGGTGATGCAGCCACCAATGCCAGGATCAAGTAATTCATGACTACAGATATCAGGAGCATTTCCAAGGTGAGGTGGTTGATGCAGCTGAGGTGTCTCGGGAGGAGGAAAGGGTGAATCCTGATATCCTCCTAGCAGAGCATGTGACTGCCAAGTGCCAGATTAAGAATCATAAAACAAGCAAGTGTTAAGTTTTGATACACTTCTTGTGCCACATATTAACATTTTTACATCAGAAAATGTTCGAAAAAGTTCCTTTTTTCTTCATAAAAGATTAGCTCATGCCCGTCAAAGGTACAAAGTACTACTCTTAGTCATGAAGGAGAGAGGACCAACACATCCAGAAACCTCCCTCCGATTCCCTGTTTATTAAAACAAAAAAATAACAAAGATAAATACATATGGGGACATAAAACCAAACCTCATGAATCATGTCACGTAGAGCTTGATCAATAGAATCAGATGAGACGCCGCCACCAGGTTTACCATGGTCATGATTTCCATTGCCAAGTAGATCATCTTCTAGCTCTTTATATGTCAAAACTTCTGTATCTGGAGTCATATGAATCATTGCAGCAGCAGAAGCGGCGTGATCATCTCCGGGACTAGAGGCAATGTAGCCACAATTACCAAGATCAGCTAAATCATCACAGACCGATGTACCCTCAGGCTTCTTTTTATCAGACTTAGAATCAACCGGCTTATACTTCAGGAGGCAGAGAACATAGTCCCTCTTCACATCCCTCTCCTGACAGGGACTAGAACCCTGCTTAGGTTTACTGCAGTAGTACTCGTGCATGATCCAGCCAGTCCTAACGGATTTAGACGCCCCACCTTTGAAGGTCTTGGTTTGGAAGGTTAATGTCCTCTTTTTGCAAGTGAAGTATTTTGAGCTGAAATCCTGCGGCTTGCCTGTGATCTTCCAGAAGCCATGCTTTGTGACTCTGTTGCAGCGAAGACTATTTGTGTATTTGTAATCACACAGGCTGAAGGTGTACCACGCCTTAGCTTGAAAAGCAGAATCAGCGAACATGAGTTCTGCAACACAAAGCAAGATAGTGAAAATTTATAACAACTAAAGATTATTTTGGATTGGATAACTCATTAGATTCAAGGTCCATTCGGTGCCTAGGATTTGATCGAATTGGATAACTCACAATCTTTAAGCTATGTTGATGGGATAAATGAAGAAATTTTGTCCACTTTGAAGGTAGAAGATGGATTACTCATAAGGAAACTTATTCCTTCCAATCACTACAAAATTGGCAGGATTTGAAGGAATAAGTTTCCTTCATGTCCCTTCGCACCTAATACCATCAGATACCTTGAATGCGATGAGATATCCAACACAATCCAATCCTTCACACTGAACGATCCCTTAATGTGGGTTGAAGGAAGAAAAGAATGCAACTTCCAAGTTGAAGGTCGAAGACGGATTATTCATCAAGCCAACTTATCCCTCCTAATCCTACCATGGAAGGATTGGAAGGGACAAGTTTCCCCATGACTAACTTATCTTCTACCTTCAATTGGGCACAAAATATCGGAAACTAACATCTATATCTTCATTCAACATCCATCCATTCAGCCTAGTAACTACTGCATCCAATCTAATCCTAGACGCCAAACGAGGTCCTAGTCTTGAACAAATAAAACAAGATTATGCACGGACGAAAATCATACCGTGAAAAATAATATATACCTGGGTTTTAAAGAAAATGTGAGATAGAATAATGGGTTACCAGGCAAAGCCCTAGGCTCGGACTTATAGACATCGATGACAGGGAGGAAGTGGCAGGCTTGGGATTTGTGACTTCTCATCTTCTTCCCCAAGAAGTCTGTCATTTCCTTGTTAGTGGGATGGAATCTGATCGCAGCCATCATGTCCAGCGCCAATTGTGCGGTTGTTGTTCTGGTGGTGGTGCTGTTTCCCATCCCTCCTCCTTCTCCTTCAAATGTTTTATACATTTTTTTTCGGTGAAGAGATGTTGTATAAAATTGTGAACAAGAAAACAAGATGTTTTTGTCTTCAGAAAACAAGGCAGAAGAAGTAGAGCAAGTGAAGTTGTATATAAAGGTAAAGTCAGTGCCACTGTGCTCCTTGTCTTCCAAGTTTTCTTGATGGTGAAGGAAATGGCTTTGACTGTGGAACCCCCCCACCCCCAAAAAAAAAAAAAAACAAACACCCACTTCCAATTGTTTTTTTTTAGCTTACAAACTAACGTTGGAGACTAAATTTTTAAAATTAAAGTTGTAAACTAAATGTATGTGGTTGTTAGTGGTTACATTAGTACTTAAACATTAATGAACATACTTATTTGTTGTTAGTAACAAATTATTTTGTTTACAAATTTAATTTAAAATTTTGATCTTTAGTTATTTGTTACTTCAACGCGTTAGTTAAGTTTGGGAATATTATAACTCTTATCAGCCCCTCTCGAAAGGTTGAGCTTTATTAACCTTCTCCAATATTTTTTGGAGGGAAACATACAATTGGGAGAAGAACTTTCTAGACTCTGAAACATGGGAGCTTTGCTCACAATTCACAAGAAATAATTATTTAGAGTAAAGTGACAAGAATGTAGTTCTAACTATCAAAACCGGATAATGACCAAAGTGAAGGGTTGTGGGACCAAAGAGTTAGTATTCGTCCGGACGAGGGATAGTCGAATTTCTTAGCAGAATAGCATTCATGCACGCACTCATGCATGTGCAGAAGACATTTTTTGAATTATAACGTGCTACGCTCGACTTATACGTGTTAAATGTATTTATATGAGTTAATTGCTTTAATAATTTTTTTTATGACAAAAAGAAAGTCAAATATTTAAAGTAAAGAAATAATATTCGAACATGCTAGAAGAAACCCCTCAAAAACCAATTAAAGTAACTGAATCCATATAAGAAAATTGGTCTTTCAATATCCATCTACATTATATTTAATTTACATTAAGAATAGAGAAAATAATATTTAATAAACAACTGATTGAATTACATTATTGCTAGCTCATTGTGATGCTAAGCCTATCCCACTCCCCCTTAGTGTAGAAAATATCGTTTGTTCAAAAAAAAAAAAAAAAAAAAAAGAAAAAGATCATGTGACAACTAATTGAATCATATTATTATGCACGTGAGAAATTTTTTTTTTTTAAAATAATTGGCACTACTTGCCTCTTAAGTGTTTAAAAATAGAAAAAATAATACAACTAATTGATGAATCACATTATTGTGTGTGTGTGAAAGACCTTTTTTTTTATCACCGGTGGTATGCGACTCTTAAGATATTTTGAACGTGTTTAAAAATAGAGAAAATAATATTTAATAAACAACTGATTGAATTACATTATTGCTAACCCAATGTGATGCTAACCCCCTCTTCCTTAGTATAGATAATATCGTTTGTTCGAAAAGGGAAAAAAAAATCATTTGACAACTAATCAAATTACATTATTATGCGTGTGCGAAATACTATTTTTATAATCAGCACGTCTCTTAAAATATTTTGAACGCGTTTAAAAATAGAAAAAAAATAATATTTAATAAACAACTGATTGAATCACATTATTGTTAGCCTATTGTAAGGTACTAATTACCAAAACAAAATTAAAAAAAAACTGTACAAAAAGAATTAATTATTAAAAAGATGTTGTTTATATGATGGAAATACCCCTGTATTATTTGATGCATTATTTTGAATTGCTTTTGAATTTTTTTGTTTGGGAGGATTTCTGTCCACTTATTTTTGTGGAAGCTTGTGACTCCAAAAACAATGTTCACAACAATGTTGGCTTTATATATATATATATATATATATATATATATATATGTGTGTGTGTATAATTTAGAAAATTCGTTACATCCATGCGGTATGATATATGATTACATGACATGTTGCAAGAAATGTATTCTTTGACAAACAATGTTCACAGCAATGTTGGCTATATATATATATATATATATGTATGTATGTATATGTATGTATGTATGTATGTATATGTATGTATATATATATATATTTATTTATTTATGTAGAGATGTGTATAATTTAGATAATTCGTTACATCCATGCGTTTTGATATATGATTACATGACATGTTACATGAAATGTTTTCTTTGACTAGATCAATGAGATCATTATTAAGCCTATGAATTCCATATCGAAAAAAAGGCAATACATATGCATATAGAAATTTTGACTACTATTTATATTGTTAATTAGAAGTGAGATAATTTCTACATACGACTTTTAGTCTCTCACATTACTTCTTTTATTTTTAGTCGTAAGATTAAATAAACTAAAAGCAAATAACTCATAAGATTTAACAGAAGTATGTAAGAGGTTAAAAAGGGTGTATATTATCATTTCTCTTGATTTGATGGTATAACCTCACTTCTTCGTAGTTGAGAGTGCGAATTAATTACAATGCTACAATTTTTCTGTAATGAATTTTCTAGGTGATGAATTTGAACCAGCCTAGTAAAATAGAGATGAATACTATTAGACTGATTGTTTGTTCATTTATTATTTATTTTTACAACAATTTTAGTTTGGTCTGTACTTTATATGCGTTTGATTACTATAATACTTATATACTGGCATGTAGTGTTGAGGGACTTTTAGGTTGAGGTGAACGTAGGCTTTGAGAATGTCCTCTTGTCTCCGTTGGTTTGGTTTTATACCAAGTTCTGGAATATCTCGAAAGAATTATCATGTCTTAGGAAATATCCCGGTTGGATCAATGACTCGAAGATAACATGATTAAACAAATAGTGGCTTGCTCAAGTGAGGCATAATGTGGAAGCTAGAAGTTTATAAGTTTTGCATGAAAGAGAGAGAGCTTGGGCGATTGTATGGTGTTTTCTGTTGGATAATCTGAGCTTCCTAGGGTGGTAGCAAGGCTTACCATGGCTGGAATACTCAGAGGGAAGTTATGGAAAATACTTCGTTTTGGGTTTCTTTTGGTTCTCTGCATGAAGCTGGGGGATTAGTGAATCCTCTCTCTAAGGTTCTCGACCTATATTTGTAGTTGAATGATTCATTCTCAAAGAATCTCTAGTTAAGGCATGTTTCTCCCTCCTCTTTCTCCTAGTTCCAAAGACTCCAAGTCCTAACTCTTGAGCAGCAAGCCAAACCAAGTTTTCTTGATGGTGATTCCCTTTACTTTTAATGTGTTGGTTAAGTTTATAATCCATTTTGTCCCGTCGTGGGAATCTTATCAGCCCTACTTGAAAGGTTGAGCTTTAGTAACTTTCTCCAATATTTTTTGGATGGAGACATACAATCGAGAGAAGTCAAGAACATTCTAGAGTCTGATATATGGGAAGCTTTGCTCACAAGTCACAATAAATAATTGTTTAGAGTAGAGTGACAAGAATGTAGTTCTAACTGTCCGAACTCGGATAACGACCAAGGTGGAGAGGTGTGGGACCAAAGAGTTAGTAGAAGTCCGGATGAAGGATTGTAGAATTTTTCAACATATGTGTATGATTTAGATGATTTGTTACACTCATGCAGTAATGATATATGGGTACGTGATATGTCGCATGAAATTTATTCTTTGACCAAATCATTATTGAGCCTATGAATCCCATATCCAAAAAAAAAAAAAAAAAAAAAAAAAAAAAAAAAAAAAAAAAGACAATGCATATGCATATAGAAAATTTGACTACCATTTATATTGTTAATTAGAAGTGAGATAATCTTCACATACACTTTTTAGTCTCTCCCACATTTTTTTTATATTTTATTTCTGGTTGTCAAATTGAATTAATCAAAAGCAAACTACTAACCAGATTAAACAGAAGTATGTAAAAGGTTAAAAAGAGTGTAGATTATATTTTTTCTTTATTTTACAGTATAACCTCACTTCTTCATAGTTGAGAGTACGACCCACTTACAATGCTACAATTTTTTGAACCTGTTAAAGAAATTTCTAGGAGATGAATTTGAACCAATTAATAAAATAGAGATGAATACTATTAGACTAATAGTTTGTTTATTTACTTACTTTTACAACAATTTTAGAATGGTCTAGACTTTATATTGGTTTTGACTACTCTAATATTTTTATGTTGGCAGTTAGCAAAGAGTTTTTCTATTCTACTTTTTTTATTTTAGAAATCTCGGCATTGCAGGTGAGGAGTATGTTGCTTAAGTAGTTTGAGATAGGCTAAAGACTAAAACCTAAAAATCCCATCTTTTATGTGACACCTACCTAAAAATCCCATCTTTTATGTGACACCTAATTCCGATCATTCTTCCCTTTTCGAATTTAAATCTCAAATTCCAGTTCTCCTTTGCCTCATTCATTGATTCATTGCTTCATTTGGTCTACTACATTATCAGCCATGACATTGAAATGCCCGAAGACGATATTCTACTGACAAAAATTGGATAAAACATTCACCACAATTCAAAAGTAAGCTATGGCTTTAATACTGTATAGCATTCAGTGTTACAACTATTTTAGTTGTTATATTTAATTTTCACAACTGTATATTCAATCTTATCCATCCGATTTTCAAAACCACTCGGTATATTCAATCTTACACTTTCGGTTTTTTATATTCAATTTTTAAAGAAGACTGCAAAAAATGTAATGAAAAAACAATTCAGAATACTCCATGCAACATTCAAATGTTCAAATAAATCACATTCACAAGAATATTTTCCTTTCAATACAACATTCTCAATGACATCATAATAAAAGCATATTAACAAGGATACAAGTTTTGGTGTTTCACACTTAGGTCATTGATAAGTTTTGACCTTCAATTTTAATCATACATTTAAAAAAGAAAAAACAACTAGAACTAGTACTCCATCAAGGATGGAACTCAAAGTTTCAATTTTCATACCCATGACATCTCATTATTGTCTAGTTATGTGAATATATCAGTTGAGTCTCCAGTAGCTTGTAGCAGCAGCTCCTGTACAGGGAATGAGGAACAAGTTAAATTAGATATACTTCTTGTAATTCGTATGACCAAGTTCACATCAGAATGTTTAAAACGTGTATTCATACTTACCTCAAGAATCATATCATCTACAGCTGGATCATTAAAATCAGATGAAATGCTGCTACCAGGTTCACCATCATCATGATCATCACTGCCAAGCACAGAACTATCTAGCTGTTTGTGTGCCAGAATTTCTTCTGTGACAGGAATCATATGATTCATGGCAGCAGCTTGGTTATCAGTATTCTAGGCAATGCAGCCACCAGTATCATGATCAAGTAATTCATGACTATAGATATCAGGATCATTTCCAAGCCGAGGTTGTTGATGCAGCTGAGGTGCCTCGGAAGGAGGAAAGGTTGAATCCAGATATCCTCCTAGCGGAGCAAATGACTGCCAATGCCAGATTAAAAATCGCAAAACGAGCAAGTGTTAAGTGTTGATATACTTTTGTGCTCCATTTTATCAAGAGTCAAGTTTAGATCAGAAAATATTCAAAAGGTGGTTTTTTTCCTTCTTCTTCTTAATAAAACAGAGGACTAGGCAAGATTAGCTCATGTCCGTCAAAGGCACAAAGTGCTACTTTGAGTCAGGAAGGAGAGAGGGCCAACACATCCCTAAACCTCCCTCCAAACCATGTGTGTTTATTAAAACAAAAAACAATAAAGATAAATACATACAAGGGGAGACAAAAAACCAACCTTTTGAATCATGACACGTAGAGCTTGATCAATAAAATCAGATGAGGCGCCACCACCAGGTTCACCATGATCATGATTAGCAGTGGCAGCTTGATCATCTCCGGAACTAGAGGCAATGTAGCCTCGATTACCAGGATCAGCGAAATCATTACATATCGAAGTACCCTCAAGCTTCTTGTTATCAGACTTAAAGCCAACTGGCTTATACTTCATGAGACAGAGAACAAAGTCCCTTCTGCTGATCCCTCTCCCGACTAGGATTAGAACCCGTTTAGATTTAGTGCCATAGTACTCGTGTATGATCCAACCAGTCCTAACGGTTTAGACTTACAACCTTCTTGGGAAGTCTTTTTTTAGAAGGTTAATGTCCTCTTTTTTCAAGTGAAATATTTTGAGCTGATATCCCGCGGCTTGCCTGTGATCTTCCAGAAGCCTTGCTCTGTGATACTGTTGCAGCAAATGTTGGATTTATTCAATATAAATCAACCATAAATGGTCTACTATGTGTAATAGGAATGCATAAGTGGGAATTCAATAATGCTGTGATTTGATCCTCATATATCATATGCTACATCAAGTGTCTTACATTATAAGTAGGTTTGATAGAATCCTTAATAATATATGATTATGATACTTTACTTGAGAGCCAAGAAAGGAGAGTTTTAGCTTTCCTTTATGGACAGAATCTAAGACTCCTTGGCTAGTATATAAACACCGGTCCCTGCTAACCCTAGATACAGCAACTAAGGCTTCCCATAGAGCTAGGAGTTTGCAGAAGAGTTGGTGTTTTTCCTCGATCAAATTATGTTCGCATGGCAGCTGCATCCTTGACAAGGAAGTAATTCTTCCTTGTGCTTGATAACTGAAATGTGTTTTGATCATGCAAACATCACGGCTAACAATTGGTATCAGAGCCATTGTTTGTATGGTTAAAACAGATGAGAATGATATCGTATGTGGTTTTGAGTGGAAAGAATGCATCATAAAATTTTAACATGCATAAAATATAAGCTTATTTCGGAGACTATCAAAGACATTCTATGTTAAAATCTTGCATAGTTTTCAAGTCCATGTCAGTTTTAACTGTTCTGCATGATTGTTAGTACTTCAGTGCTTATAAAGTTAAAGATGATCAGCATCTACATAATTCAGTTAATCATATATTCAAGCTACAGCAGTTTATCATGAGAGATTGAATCATGTAGTCAAGATTTCTGTTCATAAAATTGCATTTAATATATGATATACACTGCTTGTAATTTGTATTACCAAGTTCACATCAGAATGTTTAAAACGTGTATTCATACTTACCTCAAGAATCATATCATCTACAGCTGGATCAGTAAAATCAGATGAAATGCCGCTACCAGGCTTACCATCATCATGATCGCCACTGCCAAGCACAGAACTATCTAGCTGTTTGTGTGCCAGAATTTCTTCGGTGACGGTAATCATATGATTCATGGCGGCAGCTTGGTTATCAGTATTATAGGTGATGCAGCCACCAGTACCAGGATCAAGTAATTCATGACTACGGATATCAGGAGCATTTCCAAGGCGAGGTGGTTTACGCAGCTGAGGTGCCTCGGGAGGAGGAAAGGGTGAATCCAGATATCCTCCTAGCGGAGCAAATGACTGCCAATGCCAGATTAAAAATCGCAAAACAAGCAAGTGTTAAGTGTTGATCTACTTTTTGTGCTCCATTTTATCAAGTTTAGATCAGAAAATGTTCAAAAGGTGGTTTTTTCTTCTTCTTCTTAATAAAACAGAGGACTAGGCAAGATTAGCTCATGTCCGTTAATGGCACAAAGTGCTACTCTGAATCAGGAAGGAGAAAGGGGCCAACACATCCATAAACCTCCCTCCAAACCATGTGTGTTTATTAAAACAAAAAACAATAAAGATAAATACATACGAGGGGAGACATAAAACCAAAATTGAAGTTGCGGTCAAAATTTTACTGAACTACAAACGTGAAGGGCAATTTGGTAATTTCACGTTGCGCGGGATATACTTTCTTTCTTTTTGTGGCCTTGTATTGTGAGCCAGTGGGGCCCACACCCCACTCTTTTCCCCTCTCCATGCCTTCCATAACTCTTGGACACTCTTCTATCTCATTCTTTCCATCATTTATCTCTCTATCTCTCCCTGTATCTCTCATTCAAACTCTCACCTTCCCTTACTACCACCAACGCCAAGACCAGGACACCACCATCCTCCTCACTGGCTCTCTATTATCATCTCTTTCTTCTCATGCCGTCTTGAACACAGATCAAATGAAACACAAGCGGGCTGTCGCCATTTCCATCAAACTCGAGCCACCACCATTTGCCATTTTCTCTGGCGAGTTCCTCGATCACAACACCTTGGTCACGCATCCCCCCTCTGTGAGTTCTACGAACCCAGGAACAAAGGAAAACGCTTCCAAATCTCCTCCCTCACCTTACTATGCAGTGGCATCGTGACCACCCTTATCTCTAGCGAATCTCACCGTTCACGGCTTAGGTAAGCCTAGGGACTTCCTCGATCATTCCCTTCTCGTTGCCCTGAGTCCATTTCTGAAGCTACGTGCATGTTTTGATGGTATTCAAGTGCAAAAAAACCTAGGGGAAGATTTTCCAGAAAACTGGTGAAGGAAAAACCGTGGCCACCAAGCCAGGCCATTTTCCGGCCAACACTAACCCTAACTCGGCCCCACTGTGGTAAGGATTTGTTTCCTACATTTCTAGCTTCAAATTAGCTTTTGAATCATCAATTTTGGTTGAGCATCGAGCTCGAAATGCGCTTTGAAAGTTGGGAAGAAAACATGCAAAATTTGGGAATGGCGAAGAAGGCGCGTGGGCGCGCGTGGTGGCTGGTGCGTGCAGTGCATGGTTGCTAATGCAGCCACCTTGTGGCGGCATGTAGACGAACCTGAGGTCCCTCCTTAGGTTTCTCAACGTGCCGAACCCAAATTCGCTGTCCATTCTTCGAAATTCGATCATTTTAAAATAGTTTCTTTATTAGCTATACCTTGTACGAAAAACGAGTTTATACGTTAGTACATTATATATTTACATAAATGGTTTCATTTCTAGGTGAAGCACATCGCAAGGACCCTTGATGTCCGCGAGGCGGGTTTGACTCGACTACATGAGTTGTAAGTGGGTATTTTCTTTTATATAGTATATATATTTGTCTAGTTTCCATATATACATCTAACAAAGAATTTTCTATGTGATGCCGTAATTAAATTAACGTTTATAGGAAATGACGTAATGATGAGAATTAGGAAATCATTATAAATCCTATGGGATGTCTTAATTAGATTTACGACTATGAATAGTATTATGTTGATTAGAGTTATCGAATCACTGTGGCATGACTATATTACGTTAACTGTTCATTGTGTGCTACACTGGTGTCAGTACTCGCCCGAGCCAGGGCCAAGCTTCACGTGTATGTTCACATCGCACCGTACGCTCACTTTGGATCCATTGTAGGTACCAGTCCTATCCCAGATTGCTATAGACAATTAGGACTCATATGTGTTATGCATAGCACCAATCTTCATGTGATTGTAGTACTAGAGCATAAATCATTATTACACTCGGTCTTGTTCATGTCAGAATACCTCTGCATGAACTCATGTGTCAGCATGTGTCTAAAGCACTCGATGTGAATGTTTATTTTTGCGAGATATAGTAATTACTGGAAGTTATATGCTTATTTACAAATTTTTGTGAAGTATTGCATTTTTGAGATATTGCTAGTTACGGTAAGTATTTTCATATAATACGTAGTATGTTATATTTGGAAACTATATTTGTTTTACGGTGAGAGGTTATATGTTTTCGAAAAGGTTTGTACAAAGCTTTATTTTTAGGCCCACTCACCCTCATTTTTTGCCCCTCCAGGTTTTAATAGCTGAGTTTTCATGTTAACGAGGATTCTTGACAAATCTCGGTATAGGTGATTACCTTCAATGGTATAATTCTTATCCTACCTTTACTGTACTTTGCTTATGTTCTGGCATCACGTGTGAATTGGGTTAATTCTCGCTCACATGCACACTCTTATATTTAGGCACTTTTAGGTTAGGTTTAAATTTATTCACATTTTCTATCTCACTACACTTTATGGTTTCATCACCTTCCTGGTATCAGCTAGCACAGCTCAATTCGGAGTCTAGGTGGACATTCAAGGTCGAAGTGCGTCAAATACATGTATGAAAAACAAAAACAAAAACAAAAACAAAAACAAAAACAAAAAAAAAAGCGCACGGAAATTATTTACAAAATATGTTTGAAGATCAATAGTAAAAAAAAAAAATACAATCTATTGAAAAAAAAAGAGAAAGAAGAAAAAGAATACTATCTAACCCATGTTCAAATTCCTTGCTCGTATGCTCCTCTTCCCATTGCTTTACAATACACCATGCATATGAAGCAAGGGATATTATTTATTTAGAAAAATAGTTCCTTATTACTCTTGATAGCCAAGCAAGAGACATCCTAGACTCTAAGATGTGAATCAAAGACATGTTTTTGTCCAAGTAAGAGAATATAATTTTCTCCATGAAATTTGACTAGCGGAGAGCCATTTAGATGTGAAAGAAAAGAATATGCAAATTTTCTTTTTCCGACCAAGGCATGTATTTTACATCCCGCCTATTGGAGAGCTTTCGGCCACTCAAAAATATAAAATGACTGTTTTAATGCCTTTTGCATCTCACACTAGAGATCCTCTAAGAAGTGAGGCTACGACTCATATTGCAAACGGAGTTTTATGGGAACACAAGTTCCCTTCGTGATTGAGAGCCTGAGACACTTACAATGCTACAATATGTTTCCTTTTTTAGAAGATGACTTTGAACCCGTCCAACAATTTGAGAGTGGTCTAGATTTTATATCGATTGGACTACCATAAAACTTTTACGTTGACAATTATCAAGGAGTTTGTAGCTTAAATGGTTTAAGAGAAGAAAAATACGTGAAAGTAAGTGCTTTGCATGACAACTAACTCTTGGTCTCATCATTCTTCTCTTCCTCAAATTAAATCTCAGATTCAAATTCCCTGCCTCATTCGTTGCTTCATTGCTCCATTTGGTCTATAACATTAGTAGCCATGACAGTAAAATGCCCGAAACCGGTATTCAAGTGGCAAAAATAGGAGAAAACATATGCCACAGTTCAAAAGCAAAAAGAAAAAAGCAATACAAAACACTCCATTCAACATTCAAATGTTCAAAATAAACCGCATTCACAAGAATGTTTTTCTTTTGATACAACATTCTCAAGGACATGATAATAAAAGCAATATTAACAAAGATACAAGTTTTGGTGTTTCACAGTTAAGATAGGTCATTGATAAGTTTAAGACCTTCAATTTTAATCATACATTTAAAAAAAAAAATTAATTGTAACTAGTACTCCATCAAGGATGGAACTCAAAGCCTCACTTTTCATAACCATGACATCACATTAGTGTCTGGTTATGTTAATGTATCAGTTGAGTCTCCAGTAGCCATGTAGCAGCAGCTCCTGTATAGTGAACGCGGAACAAAGCAAATCCGCTTTTGATCGAAAATCATAGAACTTGGTTGGAATCGAAACACTGTTACCATGGACGACTAGATATCGCATAATGGAGATGCTTCCTGGAAATTGAAAGAACCCTTCATTTTGCCGCACATTCCATGCCTGCTTCAAACGGTTTGAGCAGAAAGCAATACAATGCGCTAGCTGCAGCTTCACTGTCCTGCAAATACAAAATCAACTTAAGTACTTCAGTGAACATAGCAAATAGCTTATCAGAGTCAAGGGATAAACATAAAAGTATTCGTTTAATCACGGGGACAAAGCCAGAGAGTATTCACTTCATGTTTTCAGCTTGATTTCCTCACCTTGTTTCGTGACACTGCCCTGCATTCGGATTCTTCTTGGAGCATCTCCATGTGGGTAGACAGGAATGGATGTTGGTGTACATTGCGGTCGTTTGTTGTTTGACTGCAGGATAGAGAGCTACTCGTCTGAGGAATACATGTATCTGTGTTGATAGAGGAAGTATCGTCTTCAAATAATGCTTGTGAGAAAAGACATTATTACTTTATCTGGACTCGTCGCGTTCTGAGAAGGGTAGAGTTCCAAATAGCATTTCAACCATTTGCATCTCCTGGTGTTCCTTTGTACCAACAAAAGTTCACCTAACAAGGTCGAAGCATAAAAAACTTGGGGATTCTGTGACACACAACAAAGATTTGGACATAATTGTTCAAAACCAATGTTGTGCCTCAAAGACTAATTAACTTGGTTGCAGAAATGTAGATAACTGTGAGTGTTTTTGAATTATTTGTAGGAGAATATCACGGTGTAATAATGCGAGTTGAAGACGCATTCTTACAAGGCCCTCTTAATATTCTCCTACAGATAAGAGTATCGTTGTTCATTAACAATATTGGAGTGTTTCTCCAATAGCTAATGCAGTATAATCTTTTGCACGTCCGTGGAGTAACTCGGCGTCAGTATCACAGGTTACTCCACTATCCCCATCATACACCCATCACAATGACTCTCATAGGTTGGAGCCATTGGAAAGAGTGCACGATGCCTCTGTTATTCAAGAACTTTGCGGGAAAAGAGTCGCAGGCTCTATATTTAAAGATTGCGACTCGTTGCGTCCAATATAGGTATTGGCAAGCATAAGCTCTCCCAGTTCTGAGGAAAATATTGGTGACCGCAATGGATAATTCTGTAGCTGATCAAACGGTTGAAAGGGTGATCCCCGATTTTCTTCTGGCTGAGAATAAGCCTGGATGAAGAATCATGACAAGCAAGTGTTAAGTTTTGATGTACTTCTAGTGCACCGTATTAAGTTCATATAATAAAAAATTCATCATCACCTGGGAAATCCTTTCACTTGTAGCACGATTTTGAGAATTATAAACGATGTTGATAACTGATTCGTTGTCATAATTGGTTGGAGATGGACAGTTACTGAATTCGCCACTATGGATGTCCGGAGCATCTCCCAGCTGGTGTGGCTGATTTGTCTGAGGTGGCTCGGGAGGAGGAAAGGGTGAATCCGAATCTTTATGTAGCTCCGCAGAAAGCTGCCATATTAGGATGCACAAAAAAAGCCAAGGTTAAATTTTGAATAACTTCTTGTGTTTCGTATTACCAAGTTCGCATCAGAATGTTTAAAACGAGTACTCATCCTCACCTCCAGAATCATATCATCTACAGCTAGATCATTAAAATCAGATGAAATGCCGCTACCAGGTTCACCATCATCATGATCGCCATTGCCAAGCAGAGCACGTTCTAGCTGTTTGTATGCCAGAATTTCTTCTTCAGCGGAAATCATATGATTCATTGCAGCATCTTGGTTATCAGTATTACCGGTGATGCAGCCACCAGTACTAGGATCAACTAATTCATCACTGCAGACATCAGGAGAATTTCCAAGCTGAGGTGGCTGAGGTGGCTGAGGTGGCTCAGGAAGAGTCAAGAGTGAATTCAGATATTCACCTACCGGAGCACACGACTTCCACTGCAAGATTAAGAATCACAAAATAAGCAAGTGCTAAGTTTGATATACTTTGTGCTCCATATTATCAAGTTTACATCAGAAAATGTTCAAAAAGGTGGTTTTTTTCTTTCTTTCTTCTTCTTAATAAAACAGAGGACTGGGCGAGATTAGCTCATGTCCGTCAAGGGCACTAAGTGCTAGTCTCAGTCATGAAGGAGAGAGAACCAACACATCCAGAAACCTCCCTCCAATCCCGTGTTTATGAAAACAAAATAATTAAATAAAGATATACATACGAGGGGGACATAAAACCAAACCTGTTGAATCATGTCACGTATAACTTGATCAGTAGAATCAGATGAGATGCCGCCACCAGGTTCACCACGATCATGATTTCCACTGTCAAACAGATCATCTTCTAGCTCTTTGTATGCAAGAAGTTCTTCTGCAGCTGGAATCATATCATGATTCATTGCAGCAGCAGTAGCTGCTTGATCATTTCCGGAACTAGATGCAATGCAACTACCATTACCCGGATCAGTTAAATCATCACTGATCAAAGTATCCTGAAGCTTCTTGTTATCAGACATAGAATTTGGTTTCTTCTTTAAGCGGTAAAGAACAAAGTCCCTCAGCGGATCCCTCTCCTGACTGGTATTAGAACCATGTTTAGGTTTAGTGAAATAGTACTCGTGCATCACCCAGCCAGTCCTCTCGGATTTAGACACACGACCTTTGTAGAAGGTCAAGGTTCTATTTTTGCAAGTGACATGTGTGGAGCTGATATCTCGTGGCTTGCCTGTGATTTTCCAGAAGCCTTTCTCAGTGATCCTGTTGCAGCGAGGACTATTGATGTATTTGTAATCAGGCTGGCTGAATGAGTACCATGCCTTAGCTTGATATGGAGTGTCAGGGAACATGCGCTCTGCAACACAAAGAAAGATATTTAAAATTTGAAATTAACCCACTTAATATCCTTGTTTAGTGTCTAGGATTGGTTGGATTTGATAACTTGTTAGATTCAGGGTCATTCGGTGCCTAGAATTGGATTGAATTGGGGAACTCACTATATTGAAGGTCTAAGATGGACTACTTTTTCTTCAAAACCCAGTTCTTACTTTCCACTGTGGTGAATTCATCTTCTACCTCCAATTTGGACAAACTTAGAAGTTGATATCTATATCTTCATTCAACATACATCCATCAACCTAGTAACTCATCTAATCCAATCTAATCCTAGACGCCAAACGAGGTCCTAGTCTTGAACAAATCAAACAAGATTATGCATGCATAAAAATCATACAGTGAACAAACAATACCTTGGTTTTAAAGAAAAAGTGAGGTAGAATAACGGGTTACCAGGCAAATCCCAAGGCTCGAACTTGCAGACATCGATGACAGGGAGGGAATGGCAGGCTTGGGAGTTGTGACTTTTCATTTTCTTCCACAAGAAGTCTGCCATTTCCTCTTCAGTTGGATGGAATCTGATCGCAGGCACCATGTCCGGCACCGATTGTGCGGTTGTTGATGTGGTGGTGGTGCTGCTGATGTTTCCCATCCCTCCTTCAAATGTTTTGGAAATTTGGAAGCAAGATTATCAGATGCTTTTGCCTTGGGAGAACAAAGCAGAAGAAGCATAGCAAGTGAAGTTTGTATATATAAAACAAGTCACCCAATCAAGTGAGTGCCACTGCTCTTTGACTTGCAAGTCTTGGGATGATGCCGCCAAACCAAGTTTTGTTGATGGTGTGGAAATGGCTTTGAGTGTGGATCCCACTCACTTCCTGTCAAGCCTTTACTTTGTCTTTGTTTTTATTCTTAAAGGAATCTCATCCTTCATGTAATTGGAGATTGAAAAGCCAAACTTCAAGCTTGTACTATTCTTTTCTTCAACTGACGTTGATCCTTCATTTTGCGGGGTGCTCTTTTGTATTCTGTAAAGTTAAAATAAAATTTCGAACCGAAAGTGAGAAGGAAAATAGAAGTCTGGACGTATATTTCCCTTTTGAATTTGATCCAATGGCTCAAATTAAGAGTTTCTCTCTTTATTTTCTCACATAACCTAAGCTTTCACGCTTAACAAGCATATGTGATGAATTTATGTAAAGGGAATCGAAATATTACCACATATGAGCAGTAATGAAAAATGACAATTTATGAAAAAAAAAAAATTGTATGAAGGTCGTCACAAAAAGTTATTTTATGAGAAAAAATTTGGAAATTTTCTGCAGCAACTTTCCTTGATTATTTATCACTTTTAGAGCTTTTAAACCCATCAATTCACAATATAAGCGAATTTATCCCCAAACATATTCCAAAACATCATATTCAATATTCTAAACATGTTGACATCATCAAATTAACTTGTAAAGATCTAAATATAATTTGGGCAGTTAAATCAATTAAGACCAAAATATGAACTTTACATGCATTCTTCTCCTTTCTTTGGCCTTTTAACCACTGTTCTAAAAAACGTCCTAGGCGGCCGCCTAGGCACTAGGTGCCTTGTAACTGGGCAATTTTGTGCAAAACGGCCGGAAAAATCGGTTTGGCTCTAGGTGTTGCTAGGCAGCTTTTTAATTTATTTTTTATTTTTTATTTTTTATTTTTTTTTAAAATTTGTTTAAAGTCTAAGTTCTAATTATACCTTGAAATTTTGTTAATTTTATAGAATAGGAGTGTTGTGTATCAACTTAAATTCCGGGATGCTAAAGATAAGTATCTTATATTACTAAATTTCCTTATTTTCCTCATTTTTTCCATTTAATGTTGTTTTAAATTATGAATTTGTTGTACATGTGTCATCCTATAATACTCCTCACTATGGTTATATGGCATATATGCTTAATGTGTTTTTAAATTTTGGACTTGTTGGATACTCTTTTTGCATTTTATCATTCTTCTATTATCTTATCCATAGATTTCATACAAGTATAATTTTTTGTAAGTGTCAATATGCACTTATTTACAAGATATACAAAAAATTTACCTAAATTCGCCTAGGCTGCCTAGGCGCCAGCCTGCCGCCCGACTAGTGCCTAACGTTTTTTAGAACCTTGCTTTTAACCATAAAACCACCCCAAACACATATGCAATGACAAACTAAACATGCTCGAAACATTCTATGTATGAAGAAATCAATATTTATCAACTTGGAACATAAATACCTTAACTTTTTTTACCTTAAAAACAAAAATTCAAACGACTCAACATAAAATACTAACAAAAATTGTACTCTCTCCCCACAAACCTAAACTAAACATTGTCTGCAATGTAAAACCATAACAAAAGCATGCAATGACCAGTCCAGGTAAAGAATGAAGAAAATACGAAAAAATAACGAAAAATAAGGAACGCAAGAACCTGGTTGGGTTGCCTCCTAACAAGCACTTAATTTAAAGTCCTCAACCTGACCATGCCGAGATTAAGTCAAAGATGGTGGATCATTGAAATGAGAAACCACTCCATGTTTCTTCTTCCTGTTCCTTTCTTCCACCGTGTAGCCTTAAAATTTGGTGTAGATGCAAGACAACGAGGCAATGCATATTTTTGTGTTCTCTTAAATTTCAAAGCTTGAGACTTGTTTTTCTTCACTTTTTTCGGTTGTCTCTTCCACCATATCTTGGCCATTGGAGTGGAATTTAATTAACTAGACATCTTTGATTTTTGGTTCGATTCCAAGCTCTCTTCCATAATTCGGCAGGTGGATTAGAAGTGGATCTTTGGAAGCATGTAGAATAAATGAATCTAGCGCTCTAGGATCAATGGATTCAAAGACATAGCACTTGGGAATTTCCGGTGGAGTTGAACTTGCTTCAAACGCTTGAAGTTCGACAGAGAGTAACCGGTTGGTGGACGTGGTTTGGCTAGTTGGCCCAAGCAGAAGGTCCTCCAAAGTTGCTTGGTTACCTATTCCATTAGGAACCGCTGATTTTTTGGTATCCATAGCGTTGCTTCTTTTTTGGCCAAATCCTAATTTCGTTTTGCTTCTCCCGGACGTCGAGCTTGAGACTTGACAGTTTTCCCTAACCCCGACCTCTCACTTCATTTTGTTCTTCTTCTGTATCGCCGCTTAAATGAAGACACCCGATCAGCCCGACTTTCCCAAATGCCCACCTCCGGCCTCCAACTTTGAGTTTTCAATCTTTTTTTCATCTTCAATTAGTTCGCTCAATTCAGTGTCGATCTCATCCTCACCTCAATGTGTTATAGCACTGTCATGTTCATGGGGCACGTTTTGCTTGCCAAATTGCAGCACTGCCATGTTCATGGGGCACATTTTGCTTGCCAAATTGCAGCCGTTTGCAGCCGTGTATCCTTTCGATCTCTTTTCTCCCTAGTTGGGTGTAACATAAGACAACATGTAACAATTGACATTGCATATATAGAAAGAGAGAAGAATATGCAAAAGCCCATTCAACGTTAAGCGGTTCTGATAAACGGAAAAGCATCATGCGATTAAATATAAATAGTACTTAACAAAAATTGACCGTACGATATACGATGAACGATCACGATCACAGAAAAAGATCCGACGAGGATCCTTTTCCCTGATAAACATTACAAAAGGATACTGACACAAAGGTTTAACACCTTAAACTACAACCATATGTTTTGATAGTCGTCCCAAATATAACAAAAATACTATCTCAAGTAATGCTACAGCCGCCACGTTGCAACAGCTGCAGAACAAACAAAAGCATTGCCAATAAGGCTAGCATTACGGCTTGGTTGAAACATTATTCCGTGGAGGACTTGATTAACGACTTCAGGGAGATATTTCCGCAAACTTGAAAGAAGGCTTTCAGTTGCTGCCAGCTATCTCGTCCATGCCTAATTCAAACGCCCTCTTTACTATTCTCGTTTAGCTAATGCATAATAGCATTTTACACATCCATGACACTACTTCAGTGTTCGTACCACTCCTGCACTTCAAAAGTTTGTAGTCATTCAAAATAAGTTTATGTTATTTCTTCATAGGACTAATAATCATAGTTAACTATAACCTTATTCAAGAACTTGGTGGGAAAAAAATCATTAGCTTCAGATTCGGAATTGAAACTCACTGTCATGCAAAACATCTCCCACCGTTGTTTTCATTGGCGGCTACAGTGTGTAGTCCTCTAGTTGAGGTAGATAAAAGAAAAATTCCAGATCTTCTTCTGGTGGAGGACATACCTAGATTAAGAATCATGAACAAGAAGCTAAGTTTGAATATATCCATAAGAAGTTCATATAACAAAATGTTTAAAGAGGCTTATTCTCACCTTTGAAATCCTTTTATTCGTAACTTGATTTTCAAAATTAGGAACGATGTTCTTAAATTGTTCATCGTTATCGTTGGTAGAAACATTATTCTTAGATACAACACATGTTGGTGACTCTTGGACGACATGTAACCGGACCATGTCTTTTTGGGACTGAGCACATAACTGGAGTGAAAATCACAAACAAGCAGGTTAAGTTTTGATACACTTTTGTATTATTAAAGTTCATATTAGAAATATTCAAATAAGCATTTTTATTCTCACCTCTTGAGAAATATTATGTGAAGCTTCACTTTCGAAAACAGACACGGTGAAACTATGAGGTTCACCTTCATCACAGGTTGAAATATCATTCTTATTCGTATAAGAATAATTATTATCTCCAAATGGTGATTGTATTTCATTACAATCATCATTAATGCCATTGGCTTGCAGAACATCTTCCAGCTCTATGTATCCTGATGATAGGGGTGTAGAGGAACTGTTATCCTGTGACTGAAGAGAATCAAAGAGTGATGCATTAAGTTTCGATAAATTTCTAGTGATCCATGAGATAAATGTTAAAAGACCAGACGATTCTCATTCTCACCCCTGGAGTCACAACAGCTGCAGCATGATCTTCAACATTAGACACACTACAGCTGCCAAGTTCAACTTCACCGATTGAGGTATCCTCCTCATCGGATTTTTTCTTCATGCGACAGATAACGAAATCCTTCTGCATAAGTTGGACAACAATATTATGAGCTATAGATCCAATCCAATTGCCACACTTCAAAACTATTACTTCATGTATGTTAAAACACGGAAAAATTAATCCGACACACAAATTTGATGTTGCATAATCCAAAGATAATAAACAAGGAACAAAATAGCAAACTCTGCAACTGGAATAGGGAGCGACCTGAGGCAGTTTAGGATTGGCTTCACTATCTATGAGATAGTGCTCGTGCATGACCCAGTTGGTTTTTTTCGGTTTAGGCTCACAACGCCGGTAGAAAGTCAAGGTCCTCTTCTTACCAATGACAGCTTTGGACCGCCGAGCCTTGATCACACGCTCCTTGCCTGTGATTTTCCAGTAGCCTCCTGGTGTGGTTCTGTTGGACCGCTTGCTGTTCTTGTACTTATAATCCTTTCGGCCGAAGAAGTACCACTCCATATCGTCGGATGGCATGCGAGCTGAAAATTGCAACAATTCGAACCAAGAAATTGAGGCCAACCAAATTCAAGTCCTGAAAAACCAATTTCTAAAAACAGAGCAAATTTTTCCCTTTGGGAGCTCATACATAATTGTTAGCGAGAAAAAACCAAGTACACCAACAGCACCAAATAAAATCAAAACACGAAATTGATGCCAACCCAATTCAGTTCTTCAAAAACCACTTACTAAATACAAAACAACATACTATTTTTATGAATAATGAGAAATAAACAATGAAGAAAGAGTGAGAGAGACTGAATAATTACCAGCCAAATCCCCAGGGTCGAAGTTGCAGACATCGACTTCAGGGATGTTTTCAGCTTTGAAATCCTGGTTCTGTTTCTTGAGCTTCAAGTAATGGTCCACCAGTTCCTCCCCGGTGGGGTGGAATCTGAACCCGACCTGCCCTGAACCCCCTCCTCCTCTTGTTTTTCTCTTACTTCCCATTGTTTCCATGTGTTTCTTTTCTCTCAGCGTAAGTGTGCGTGTGTGCGTGCGCGTGTGTTTGCGTGAAATGAGAAGAAGTTTGCAAGTATTTTATAAAGTCACTTCAGAATACTCAGTACTATTTGATCCAGCCAATCAAGTGTCGGACTTCCCAAACAAGTTTGCTGACATGCCACGCTTTTATTTTTTATTTATATATTTTTGTCCTTTTGATCAACCCCTCTCGGAAGTTTACTTTTTCCTTTGATTTTTTTTGGTAGACAACCCCTCTTGCAAGTTTAGCCCTTAGAATACTTTTAACACTTGGAATCTTTCCCAACTCATAAAATCTCAGGGGAAGTTACACGTCCTTTTCCTACATTAAATTACAAGTCCCAAAGCACTCGATAAGAATTGATTTTTATACTCTCATTTTTATAATTTGCACCTTGTATTTTTTTTTATTTGTTAATTTTCTTTAACTTTTTTAGCATAACGGTAACAAATAAGTATGGATCGTGCATGTAGTGAAAAAATGATGTGTTAAAGTAACTCGTAATGATACTAGGCTTTTGTAATAGAGAGTGATTTTTACGCATCATTTTCACCTTTTGCACTCTTAATTTCGATTTTTTATTCTATTTTAATTTATTCAAATCAACCGTGATCATCATCTTATATTTTAAGAAAGGAAGAGATCGCGTAATATTCGAAGTTTGAAGAGAGTACTAAGGAAGATTAAGCTCAAGTTGATCATCCATGGTTTTCAATTCTACAAAACTGCATTCATGTGTATACTCCTAGTCCCCTAACCAAATTATTAACTCTAAGCTTCACTAAAACAAATAGTTCACTCAAAAAGGGCCAAAACCTTTACATTTATCGACTCTTCTAAACACGTAAAAACAAGCCAAAATACACATCCTCGATACATAACGGTATGATCTCTTAAAGTACATCATATACTAGTCACGTGACTTAAATTGATAGAATTTAAATAAAATAACTTTGAATCTTATAGTAGGGATGAAATTTACAATTTTTAATGAATTTAAAGAGACTTAATTTTTACTTGGATAATAATTGATAACCAAATTGGCACCGTACTCTATTTTTAAAGTTGCAATTGAGACAAGATGTTTAAGAGCAACACATGTGAAAATATAAAACCACGTACCTTGGCTGTGGAATAGTCCTTTCAATTTTCTCACGTTTCCAGATTCCATTTGCAATTGGCATTGCCAGGTTGGGTGATTTTTATCTCTGATCCACTGTCATCACATAGAAACTTTGGAAACGACTGCTCTACTCTAAAGACATCTAAACGTCAAATCGAATAAGATCACGATATCACATATTTTGCGAGGAAACTGCGAAGGAAACTAAATTTTTAGACCATTTTTGATAGATTGCGTGATGTAATGATTAATGATTGAGGATTAAAATTTTATTTTAATGAGTTAAAAAGTTCAACCATCAATTATCACATTATATAATTTACAAAAACTAATCTAAAAATTTGATCTCTTTAACGTCACTCATTTATAAAAGGCATATAACGCGATGTCATAATTGATGTGGGTGGAGGAATCCCCTTGTTTCCTCCCTTTTATAAAAAATATATATTTCAGAATTTTGTGATTGGAGAATGGAGATATCCAATAGGGCTTTAATACCTCCCCCACAAGTCTCAACTACTTCCTCACCATGTGGTCTCAAGTACCTCTTCCCCTCCAAAATCATGACCTATCTTTATCTCAAGTTACATAATCATCACTCAATCTTACCATATCTTTGGACCGATGAACTTTTTCATAACTAGCCCATCTAATTTTACGGCCTCTAAGATCATTCTCTAGCAGTAACTTTCATAAAAGAATAAGTGTCGAGCTTTTTATAAATTCTCTAATTTTATTGTGCATGCATGTTCAATACATAATAAACTCACACGACAAACATAATTGAAATTGAAAAAGTGCATCTATCACTATTTGTTAAAAGTTGAAAATTTTCGTCGCCAGAAAGATATATACCCCATTGATGCGGTGGCTGGGGACTCATTATGGCACTTACGTTGGGGGGCTTGTGAGTCATATTTAATGTGACAACAATGTAAATATTCATATGCTTATAAATATCTTGGCCCACAAATTGTGGCGTAGTCTTTTTAAGTATCAATTTTGAATGGTAATGCAGGTCTCCTTCAAATCATTTTTGACAAGCATAATTTTTGAGGTTGGTTGTGGGCTTTAAAGTTACGTAACCTTTGACCCATACATTTTATTTGTTTCGTTTAAATTATACATAACACAACTTTTGACAACATTGGGGTGGTGGCGCAGTTGGCTAGCGCGTAGGTCTCATAGCTTCTGAGTGATCCTGAGGTCGAGAGTTCGAGCCTCTCTCACCCCATTCATTTTTATCTTTTGCAATTATAGGAAACGAAAACATTTGAACTTCCAACTTCTAACAACACCAACGTAGTCTAGTAATATTTATCTTTCACAGTTTTAAATGATATCCTAATAGTTGGAATTTCCATATGATTTCTTTAACGTTTCAACTTCTAACACCATCATGGTTTAATAGTATTTATCTTTCACAATTTTAAGAAAATATCCCAAGCCAAATGATTAAACAAAAAACAATATACTGTACTGAGATTCCAGTACCAGCCATACATCATTACATCTGGTTCGTAGAAACAGAAACATGTCAAACTCCATAGGCGATGCCAAATATAAACATTTCATCACTGCAAAACATGGCTGGTACTCCCACATTTTATAGCAGCAATAAGCAACAACTAAGTCTGGCATATTATTCATTGTGAGACGTTCATCTATCACCACTGCCCGTATAAAACTAATTCCCGAGCAAAAACAAAGAACAATATTGCACCTAGAACCGTGTTGAAAAGGTATACTGATGGGGGACTTGTTAATGGGGGGGAAGTTTCCCAGGAAATCAAAGAACAGCTCATCCAATTGCCGGCGGTGGTTGCATTGTGCGTCTGCTTCAAACCCTTTTCTGTATTATTGCTTTCCTCTATGTCTTTGTTAGATTCTGATATAAAGTTCCTCTTCGGGGGAAAATCAACAGCAGCTCGACGCTCTGCAGCTTCTTTGGCCTGCAAAAATAAACCAGATTAAGTTGTGGAAATAGCCTCTCCAAAGAATCATTATTCATGTTCTCCGTGCTGCAGTTTGGGTTCTCTCACTCACCTTGCTTTGCTGCTGTTCTAATTCATTAGGTTTGCCTAGTGCTACGAGGGCACTTGTTGGATATGTTCTTCTGCATGTTCTCTCATTGTTATAGTGTTCGTTGCAGGCTAACTGAATAGAGTTAATCTGAAGGCTAACTGCATCTACATCCACAGAGGAAGCACTCTTTAATTTTAAGGCATTAATGGGTCTTGATGCACTTTGCAGCCTGCTTGTTATTTGATGTGTACCAGAATCTTCATCACTGACTGATTGAAGACGATCAGTCTGAGGTTTAGGTAACACATTGATAGAGGAAGCAGCCTGTCTTAAGGTCTGGTTACGAAGCATAACACCTTCCTCTCTTCTGGAGTGGCTCGAACTAGCTTGTGGCACACTAAGCATTTGTAAACTCGAGCCCTAAAAAATTAATAATAATCAGAAAATATGAGCAAGTTTCCAAAGCCTCCAATACCAAAAAGGTAAGCGAAGTTCTAGCATTTGACCTGTGAAAACTATCAACACAATGACAAAATTTGATTTTAAGATTCCATGGGAGAAAGCTTTTTTACCTCTGCAGCTCGATGTTGTACTTCTGTGTCTGAGTCACTGCTTACTCCACAATCCTTTAAATACACCTTCCTAGGTGACTGTGGCATAGTGGAGTCGTTAAAGACGTTATCGTGAGTTATTTCTTCACTGTAATCCTGATACGGGTCATCCGCAAAAAATCCATTTACAAACTCTTCCGAATTTTCCTCCATTCCATGGTAATCATTATTACTATGCGCATCTGCAAGCAAACTACCCATGTGCCTCTGAAAAATGTCCACATTTTGTGGTGGCTGATTATGTTCCTGCATAATGAACAACAAACAAGCAAAGGTTTTGGATCTGTTTCTTTTGCTCCGTCTATATATATGAAGAAGTTTTAATTACCATTCGTGCTCGACATTCTCACCTCTTCAACATGCATATTATGTGCTGGTTGCAGTTGATTTTCAAAGTCAGGTGCATTGTTGTAATTACTAGATTCACCTTCATCACAGGTTGCACCATCCGTATTCTTACCTGATTTCTTCTTTACGTGACAGAGAACGAAATCCCTCTGCAAATAAGTTGGAAAACCAATTATGTAATGAAGTATCACCAACAGAAAATTAAACAAGGTTCCAAACCAAAAGCCGCTAAACTTTGCAGATTTACAGAAGAAGCCAATTTGGCTAGAAGGGGTTTCGATTTTGATCCATTCAATGATTTCAAAACCAAAACCCCTTGGAACCAAGCCAAATAGACTTGAGTTTCACAACCAAAACCCGTCCAGCCTCCGGTTTAGAACTTGCCTCATACAATGCTGCAAATTGTACATAATATATCGATCACAATATTAACAAAAACCTGAAAACAGAAAGAGAATGATGACCTGATTAGCATTAGGATTGATTTGAGGGATGTAAAACTCATGCATGACCCAGTTGGTAACTGGGGCATTACGACCGCGACCTTGGCGAAATGTCAGAATCCTCTTTTTACCGATAGTTTTGTTGTCTCGAGCCTTGACTATTTTATCCTGCCCAGTGATCTTCCAGAAGCCTGTGTCCGTCGCCCTTTCAATTTCGTTTCTGCCGTTTTTTTTGTAAATTGGTCGGTTGTAGAAGTACCATTCATCATCCGACTTTATCAATGAAATCGCTGCATAAAACACGACGTTTGGATTCTATTAAGGATAATATTGTAAATTCATCTTCAAGTGATAATACTTAGAGACTAAGGAAATCTGTTAGTTTGTTATAGGTTTGATTTTTCTTAGTTAGAAAGGGTTGTGATTTGCTTTGGCTCACAACTAGTATATATACTCATATTGTAAACTTATTCAGGTGAGAAATACAAGTATAATTTCCAAACAGATTCAACCAAATGCATACACATTTTTAGACTCATTCAAATGCAAACTAAAATGTATCAGTAAAAGTGTAGAGATTTTCGCACTCCATTTTACAATTTTTCCAACTCACAGAGGAGTGTTGAGTGCTGAAATCTCTGACCTTCGTAAAATTGTCACTCGAGAATAAAAATAGTAACTTTATGAACTGGGATTAGTAGTAAGTTACGTTTGGATTAAACCCAAATACCCAATGGCAAATGCAGATTATCAGACTCATCGGACTAAGAAAAATAATGAAAATTTAAGACCTGGAGTTTTGCAAAAAATTACCAGGCAAGTCCCAGGGCTCGTAGTTGCAGATATTGGTTTCACGGATGGCGTCGCCGACGAGGGAATCCATTCCCCGGAGCTTCAACTTCAAGTAATGGCTGATCAGCTCTTCTTCTGTGGGGTGGAATCGGAATCCCACTGGCAGTAACAGGTCTCCTACTTCTAATCTGGTGAAGCGGATTCCATTGGAAGCCATCCTCTTTCATGAAGGAGCAGGGGAGTGCTGGCTGGGTTTTTGTAGGATTAAGAAAACAAGAGAAACAGTACGGAAATTGACTTGGTGTTGATCAAGTCTTTGTGGTTTTCAGCGGACGCTTTTTGCTTATGGAAGCAACCATTAAACTTCTGCTTCTGCTTTTACATGGTGGGCTGGGCTGTGGAATGTTTTCTGTCTTGACTTTTGGTGGGACCCCGGGGAATCCTACGTGTGTGCCGTACGGTTGGGTGGGCGTGCTTCCTCGGAGGACTGAAAAGCTACAGGGATCATGAGAAAATTTTGTATCCCTTTTTGTCAATGGAAGATTAAATGAGGGTAGGTTGCGACATCGTGTAGGATAAAGAGTCGATAAGCTAGAACGAGAAAGTTTAATTGAGAAAATCGGTAGCATTCTCATGGAGTTATTTCCAATTAAAATAGATCTCCATATAGTGTCACTTCACAGATTTATTTATAAAGATTTTGTATCCGTTTGATAAAGAAATATTAGATACATCACTTTTGAGAGTATTTCTTAAGATATAAGTTGATGGAAATTCTTTGGTTGTAAAATGAGATTCATCTCAATATATTTATCTCACTAGTTACTTAATTCACTCAAGTGTAGTTACTCTCACTAGTTACTTAATTCACTTTAGATTGATTTAGTTTATAGATTTCAAAACAAATTGCGAGTCTCAAGAAGTTCTTCCAGGGTCGTAGTAAATGAGAGATTTTTTAATATATGTTTAAAATACAGAATTAATATAACATATTATTATACCATCAAAGAAACACTTGAAATGAATTTTGTCTAATCTAAAGACATAAGATGAATCACTCGTTAATAAAAGTAATAACGACTGATGAGGCTACCCTTTGATTTGACTGTGTGAGTCCATCGTTTCCTCTTATCACATGTCCCTTGTAGTAAAGGTTTTCTTGTTGATCAAATACTTGTTTGAACTTTGAGCAAATGTTTCCACTTCTTGGGTAGAGATTATGATTACCTCAGTTTCTTGTTGATCAAGTACTTCTTTGACCAATGTTCCATCAACCGGCAGAACCAATCTATAACAGCATAGAACTTGTAGCTATGGGGCCGTAGCTCATGATTACTTTGTGACTTCATCTCTCATTTCCAATACTACAACGTACAACTAGGTAAATATTGTTTGATAAACCCCATGATCAAAATTTTGTTTCAATAGAATCTCTAAATGAGCATACAATTGTTTATGCATAATTTTTTTAGACGCATTAAAATAATATATAAGTTGTTTTAGGCTTAACATATGAGACTTGAAAAAGCCCACCAAAGGATGAGAAAATCAAGACATAGGGCCTCCAAGCTAGCAAAAGGAATTTAGATGATAGAGTACCACCACAAGAACAAAAGACAACTGCCTTCAACAACCACTCGTAGCCCTATCTATCGACAAGAAGAGAGGTGCGCATAACTTAAAGCACTTTCCGAACACTCGAGCCAGTTGACAAGCTTGACAATTTTCTAGCATGGAGCTTCATGACAAGTATGTCCAGACGTCAACTTTGAATCATGTGTTGGCCATCGACGATAAAAGAAATATATGAAGAAATATAAATATTGTCAGGCTCAGCACTCAGATAAAGTGTTTTTCAACCACTCTTGAACAAACGTTGTGCTCAAGACGTGTGGGAAAGCATAAAATAGCTTAGTATATGAGCTATACACAAAGCTATACATTGGTACGAGCGTATGAAGCTATACATTGGTACGAGCGTATGAGCGTATGAGCTATGAGGGCTTTGTCTATTTATAGTATCTCATGGCAGCTAAGATTTGCTTTGTCTTGCTTGTCAATTCAGTACCTAGATTTCATGAGAACTTGATTTCTGCAAATCCGTTTTGACTTTTTGCACGCCCATTAATTTTGGTCCTTAATTCTCGTCTGGTTTGTTCACAAAAAACAAAAGGACGATATAAAAACGGATGTATAGACATCATCCCTAGTTACTAATTTAGCATGTGTATCTTCTCAATTTTAGATTCTTTTTTATGTGTACCAACAAACACAGAAGCAAACAATAACTTGCAATTTGATATGATTGTGAGCCCACCTGACAAGGCTTGCAATTGCAAAGCAACAAGAAGTGAGACAAATCCATACAAATCAATAACTCATCAAGTATGATCCTCCCCCCTCCTTCCCCAAAAGATAAAAAATAATTTGGCCAAGGCTAGTGAGAAACAGTAAAAAGAATGAAGAATATCAACCAGAAAAAACCTCTACACCCTATATTGCTCTTTTCTTTCTTTTTCTCAAACACTCGCACCACAGAAGGGACTTTTCCTCTGTTGGCTATACACATTTCCTACAGATTCTGCATATCCTCTCCGTTATGACTTACAACACCACATCCTTTCTGGTGAAAGTACAACCGAGAGTGGAGCGTGATCAGAGAGAGTATAATCTTCGGGCCATATTCCCTTCTCCGCCTCACGGGGGTATAGAACTGCATTCTTCACGTTGAATCCGAGGGCGTCCTGCGTGCCCCGTTTGGACTCCTCTCTACTACCGTTGAGACTTTCCTTATCCTCTGACGCTGTCAAGCCCAAAATTCTATTCTGCAATGCCAAATTTTTAGACACGTGATGTTAATCTTGTGGTACTTTGGAAGGACTATTACATGACGGCAATGCTAATGTAATTTCAAAAGCAAAATAAACGAAATTATTATGGATGTAATGTACCTTAAATTCTTTGTAATCAAGAACACCATTTGCATCGGCGTCTGCCTGGATCCAGAGATCCCTTGTCTCCTGGAAACCTAGTCCCCTAGGATGACCAATTAAATTAACCTGCAAAATACCTATATGAGCAAGTCTGATCTTTCCATTTGAACGTTATACAGCTTAATAGCTAATAGAACCAACCTGTTGTAGTGCTTCACAGATAGCTGACGACGTAATAAAATCACCACGACCATCACCCTTCAGAAAGGCAAATGCATCATTTTCAGCCATCGAAGCTTTTCGAAGCTGGTGCAGAAAACCCCAAAAGGAAAAAGGAAGTTATTAGGATTGCATGTAGAAACTGTCTAGAGCTTGCATGCCCTATAATAAAAATGATCGAAGCATTTTTCCTAAGTTTTGAACAAAGCTTTCTGTGCACAATATATCTGATGAACTACTATTCTTGCCCTCTGTGGCAAGGTATTAGATAGTAGGTAGAGAAAATGTGAACAGATGAGTATTAATGACAATAATATAGAATATGGAAACCAAATTGCTTACCCGTAATATTCCAAAAACAGCTTCGCACCAACTAGTCTTTAGTGGTTTTCGTGACTTATTGGGATTACAAAGCCAAATGAAGTCAACACCGCAGATGTCTCCCCTATGATTGCGGTGGCTAACCCACTGTCCGATATAAAATACAAATATTGCGTTAAAACAGATGATGAGCACTGTATAGATGGGCCCTGTGGCAGCCATGTAAATCACGGATTTCAGAATTTAAATCCAGAAAACACCAACCTTGTGAGCATCCGCATCGGTATATTGATGAGCAGTATCATATGTTGATTCAAAACCCTGTGATCTAAGGAATTTGAACACATGGCCTCGTTTACTTCCATTCCAGTCACTGCATCAAGAATAAACAAAAAAATACAAATATAAGAACTACCATCCTACACAAAAGAATACAACCAGAGAAAGCCTATAATTTATTAAATTTCCATTGTTTGTGAAGGAGGCCTTCAAAAGGATTTACCAGTCGGATAGCTAGCACCTTCAAAAGGATTTATATTTTAAAGATTTTCTTCAGAGTATTATAAATGAGATTCTTTGACATGGAACATTAACTAAGAAAGACAAGGCAGGAGACTCACCCAGAGAGTACGATGGGCATCGTACTCTTAAGTATCCTTGTCGCAGCCTAATTGCAGCCGTGTATCCTTCTGGATATCTTTTCTCCTTAGTTGGGTGTAACATAGACAACATGTAACAATTGACGTTGCATATATAGAAAGAGAAAAGAATATGCAAAAGACCATTCAAAGTTAAGAGGTTCTGATAAACAATACACAAGGATACTTACAAAAAGGTTCAAGACCTTAAACTACAACCATATGTTTTGATAATCATTCCAAATATAACAAAAATACATCTCAAGTAACGCTAATATGCAAACTGATAGATACTACAGCAGCCACGCGGCAACAGCTGCAGAACAAACAAAAGCATTGCCAACAAGGCTAGCATTATAGCTTGGTTGAAACATTATTCCATGGGGGACTTGATTAACGACTTGAGGGAGATATTTCTGGGAACTTGAAAGAACGCTTTCAGTTACTTCTAGCTACCTCTTCCATGCCTAATTCAAAGGGCCTCTTTACTAGTCTCCTTTAGCTAATGCATAAAGGCATTTTACACATCCATGGCACTACTTCGGTGTTTGTACCACTCCTTACTGCACTTCGGTAGCTTGTAATCATTCAAAATAAGTTTATGTTACTTCTACATAGGACTAATAACCATAGTTAACTATAACCTTATTCAAGAACTTCGTGGGAAAAAAGTCATTAGCTTCAGATTCAGGATTGAAACTCACTGCATGCAATATAGTTATTGTCATGCAAAACATCTCCCACTGTTGTTTTCATTGGCGGCTACAATGTGTAGTCCTCTAGTTGAGGTGGATAAAAGAAAAATTCCAGATCTTCTTCTGGTGGAGAACATACCTAGATTAAGAATCATGAACAAGGAGCTAAGTTAGAATATATCCATAAGAAGTTCATATAACAAAATGTTTAAAGAGGCTCATTCTCACCTCTGAAATCCTTTTATTCGTAGCTTGATTTTCAGAATTAGAAACGGTGTTCCTAAATTTTTCATCGTCATTACTGGTAGAAACATTATTCTTGGATATAACATATGTTGGTGACTCTTGTGCGACATGTAACCAGAGTGAATTCATGTCTTTTTGTGACTGAGCACATAACTGGATTAAAAATCACAAACAAGCAGGTTAAATTTTGATACACTTTTGTGTTAATAAAGTTCATATTAGAAATATTCAAATAAGCATTTTTATTCTCACCTCCTGACACATATCATATGGAGTTTCATTTTCGAAATCAGATACGGTGAAACTATGAGGTTCACCTTCATCACAGGTTGAAATATCATTCTTATTGGTATAAGAACAATTATTATCTCCAAATGGTGATTGTATTACATTACAATCATCATTAGTGCCATTGGCTTGCAGAACATCTTCCAGCTCTATGTATCCTGATGATAGGAGTGTAGAGGAACTGTTATCCTGTGACTGAAGAGAATCAAAGAGTGATGCATTAAGTTTCGATAAATTTCTCATGATCCATGAGATAAATGTTAACAGACAAGATGATTCTCATTCTCACCCCTGGAGTCACAACAGCTGCAGCATGATCTTCAACATTAGACACACTACAGCTGCCAAGTTCAACTTCACAGATTGAGGTATCCTCCTCATCAGATTTTTTCTTCATGCGACAGATAACGAAATCCTTCTGCATAAGTTGGACAACAATATTATGAGCTATAGATCCAATCCAATTGCCACTCTTCAAAACTATTACTTCATGTATGTTAAACACGGAAACATCAATCCGACACACAAATTTGATGTCGCATAATCCAAAGATAATAAACAAAGAACAAAATAGCAAACTCTGCAACTGGAAAAGAGAGCGACCTGAGGCAGTTTAGGATTGGCTTCACTATCTATGAGATAGTGCTCGTGCATGACCCAGTTGGTTTTTTTCGGTTTAGGCTCACAACGCCGGTAGAACGTCAAGGTCCTCTTCTTACCAATTACAGCTTTGGACCGCCGAGCCTTGATCACACGCTCCTTGCCTGTGATTTTCCAGTTGCCTCCTGGTGTGGTTCTGTTGGACCGCTTGCTGTTCTTGTACTTATAATCCTTTCGGCCGAAGAAGTACCACTCCATATCGTCGGATGGCATGAGAGCTGAAAATTGCAACAATTCCAACCAAGAAAGTGAGGCCAACCAAATTCAAGTCCTGAAAAACCAAGTGCTAAAAACAGAGCAAATTTTTCCCTTTGGAAGCTCATACATAATTGTTAGCGAGAAAAAACCAAGTACACCAACAGCACCAAATAAAATCAAAACACGAAATTGATGCCAACCCAATTCAGTTCTTCAAAAACCACATACTAAATACAAAACAACATACTATTTTTATGAATAATGAGAAATAAACAGTGAAGAAAGAGAGAGAGACTGAATAATTACCAGCCAAATCCCCAGGGTCGAAGTCGCAGACATCGATTTCAGGGATGTTTTCAGCTTTGAAATCCTGGTCCTGCTTCTTGAGCTTCAAGTAATGGTCCACCAGTTCCTCCCCAGTGGGGTGGAATCTGAACCCGACCTGCCCTGAAGAACCACCTCCTCCCCTTGTTTTTCTCTTACTTCCCAGTGTTTCCATGAGTTTCTTTTCTCTGTGTGTGTGCGCGCGTGTGTTTGTGTGGACTGAGAAGAAGGTGCAGCTGCAAGTATTTTATACTGTGATATCAACGTATCACATTTTATTTCTCACACATTTTTTTAATTTTTGATCGTCAGATCGGATAAAATGAAGAAGATCAAATGATAAAAATTATCAAAGGATGTGGAAGAAGTAAAATAAGATGTGGATATCACACTTCATTTTATAAAGTCACTTCAGAATACAAGAAATTTTTTATTATAACGGAAACATAAGTGGTACATCACGTTTTAATAGAAATACTGATAAATTTTATTTTTTAAATTATTAACTTTTTAGCATACATATTCCACTATTTATATAATGATACATGATGTAATATCTCGTGTACCGGTAACATTGAAAAATCTTTCTTCACAATACTCAGTACTATTTGATCCAGCTAATCAAGTCTCGGACTTCCCGAACGAGCTTGCTGACATGCCACGCTTTTCTTTTTTATTTATATATATTTTTGTCCTTTTGATCAACCCCTCTCGGAAGTTCACATTTTTTTCCTTTGATGTTTTTGGTAGACAACCCCTCTTGGAAGTTTAGCTTTAGGAATATTTTAACACTTGGAATCTTCCCAATTCATAACATCTGTCAGATTAAGTTACACGTCCTTTTCCTACATTGAATTCCACGGGATCATGATTCTCTCCAGAGAAAAGGATAAGATGCTTCTGATCAAGTTTATCAAACCGTTAAAATTTTAGCCAACGGTTGCAAATAAAAAACCTCTCTAAAAATTATAATAATTGTTGGATAAGCTTGGTCAGAATGATCCTCATCCTTTACTAAAGAGAGGATTTTGACCAAAAGCATTCGATAGAAAATGATATTTATACACTCATTCTTTTTAATTTGCACCCTGTATTTGTTTTTATCTGTTTTCTTTTAACTCTTTCAATGTAACGATAACAAGTATTAGTTGGGCATGTAGTAATCTATTACTTCTCTGTCGACTTCGATTGAGAATGGCAGCTGGGAGGTTTACCTTGCTTTACTGCATGCTAGACGGTTAAGGGAGTCTTTTCAGAACTGTTGTTGGTCTTGGATTTCAAGACCAGCTAACATTGCGGTGAACTTCTTGACGTCGCAGTGTTGTGCGGAGATGTGTGAGGTTTCTTGGGTCAATAGACCCCCATCTTCGTTAGCTTTTGTACTTCATAATGATGACTTACCCTGTCTGTTGAATAAAAAGAGTATCCAAAATAACTCTAATGATCCCAAGAAGAAGAAAATAGAGCACACTCTTAAAGAAAGCTCACAAAACAAACTAATTAGCAAAGCTTTTCTTATTTAGCTCTAGGCTTTGTTTTTCCTTGGATGATTTACAATGCTTGGGGACTTGGGTATTTATAGCAAACCAAATGAAAGCTACACCACACACTTAATTAAACTAAGATTTCCAACTACCACACAAAACACATTAATTGCACCTAATTATGTTGTTTTCCACACAATATTACCTAACTTTGCAATTGTAAGCAATTACATCATCAAACTAGATATGAACTTGGACTTTAGATTGGGTTGTGGATTACTTATGGTTTTGGCTTGACATTGATTCTCAACACTCCCCCTCAATGTCAGCTCTCATTCTTTGCACTGTGCTGAGTAAACAGCGAAAAATTTTGAGCTTGCCTGTACTCAAACTTTTTGTGAACAAGTCCGCAACTTGATCATTTGTCTTGACCTGTCTCATCTCAATCTCTTCTTGCAGAACCTTTTCTCTGATAAAGTGGTAATGTACATCCACATGCTTAGTTCTTGCATGAAATACTGGATTTTCCGCCAAGCGAATTGCCGATTGGTTATCACAATACAATGGTACTGGATAATCTACTGGTTGATGTAGATCACTCATCAACTGTACCAGCCATGCATTCTCTTGAGTTGCCATTGCTGCTGCTCTATACTCTGCTTCTGTGGTTGACAAAGATACCGTTGGCTGTCTCTTGCTACACCAAGAGATGGTTCCAGAACCAAGCTTAAACACACACCCAGTTGTTGATCTCCTGGTGTCATGATCTCCCGCATAATCAGCATCACAATAACCAATTAACTTGCAGTCTTCACCTTTCTTGTACAAAAGACCATAGTCAATTGTACTCTTCACATATCTTAGTATTCGTCGAATTGCTTCCAAGTGAGGCTTCTTTGGATTTTGCATGTACCGACTCATCACACCAACTGCATAAGAAATGTCAGGTCGAGTCAAGGTTAAGTAGATCAGACTACCTACCAATTGTCGATACATCGTCGCATCTTCCAAATATTTTCCTTCATGTGCACTCATTTTGACATTTGGCTCCATCGGCGTAGAGATCAGCTTGCATTCAAGCATTCCGAACCTCTTCAATAAATCTTTGGAATACTTCTGTTGACAGAGAAATATTCCTTCTTGTGTGCGATCAACCTCTAGACCAAGGAAATGCTTGAGTTGACCAAGTTCCTTCATCTGGAAACGGACTGATAAATTCTCCTTCGTCTGAAGAATTTCTGCCTC